TTTATTGATAAAGGTAGATAATCTTATAAGGAATCTTGTGTTTCATTTTCAAATCTTAGATTTAAAAAGAAAAATTTTTACGAATTCTTAACTCAAAATAATTTGCTAATTTTCGTGATTTTTCCATATTTTGTAAATTTTTGAACTTTAAATGCTTATAAAAAAAAATTGTGACTAAGGATTTTTAATATTTTTCATCTGCCTTTGAAACAACATATTAGGAGCCTTCTATTAAATTTTCAAGCTTTCGCAACCAACAAATTAAATTTTATTGATATTTCTAGAAAAAAAACTAAAAAAAAATGAAAAATGAAAATGTCCCTAAACAGTTCAAAATAAATCAAAATATTTTGAAAATGTTATCGTGTATAGAAAATGCAAATATAAACAACCAGTGAAAATTTCATGTATTTACGGTCATTTGTTTTAAAGTTACACCAAAAACCAAATTCGATTTTTTGGAAAATCGATTTTGCGTAAAAATTCCCGTTTTTCCTTAATTTTTATGTTGTTTTTCCCGGCGCTTGTGAAAACTACTGGAAAATGTTTACTTTTGACCCCCCAAAGTACCAACTAGATTCACTTTCCTATCATAAAAGGTACTATTGAAGAAAATCGAAGCACTTTTACTGTCCCAAAACGTGATGACAGACACAAAAAAAAATATAAAAATATAAAAATATAAAAACATACATCATTGTAAAACCAATACATTCATCGCTCCGCTCAGAATCTAAAACGAAAAATATTTGACATTTTTTTGCTGAATTCAAATATTTTTCCAGAATCTAAGTCAGACGACGTTAACAAACTTTAATTTTTTCAAAACAAATGTATGGTTTTGTAAAATTCGTGTAGTGAAATTGGTATGGTTATTGACATGTGCATGCGTGTACGAGGGAGGAGAGGATACCCGCATTTAATTTCACTCATACTAATAATCGTTTACAACTAACACATAGATGCCTGGCGGTTATGACACAACATTAGAAATTTTGCCCCTTAAATAATGCCTTGATGATTTAAGGAGAATCATATAGGCAATTTCTTATCCCGTCGCTACCCGAGATCTGTGTTAGTTGTAAATGATTGGTGGTGGCCTATCGATGCTAGGAATTATTTATAATTGAACATTCTTTATCTGTAAAATCAAGCCCCTAAAAGATAAAAATTTGATCAAATGATTAATGGAAAATTTAGTTTTATGGAATGGTATTTTTTGGAATACAATTGTATGGAATAAACTACAACCGGGAAAAACAATTTTCGAACCAATCATGGAATGGAACATACATTTATTGGAATATCAAATTTCGGAGCAAATATCTAATGTACTATACATTTTTTAAACATTTTAATTTTGGAACAAATATGTAATAAAACATTTATTTATTAGAAATATAATTTTTATGAAAAATAAGCAATGGAACATACATTAAATGGAAAATTAATTTTCGGAACAGATATTATTGCATTAAGTGGAACATCCACATTAATATAATGAAATCCAGTTTAATATAGATTACATTGTATTGAATAGGTATTATCTCTAAATATATATACTAAATATACAAAAATGAAAAGCTGTTCGTTATTCTGACTAAAACTAAAAAACGTCTTGACAAATTTGGCTGATTTTTTTTTTAATTGTCTTCGGTCAGGATAAGGTTTTTATAATAGAAAATTCTCCGGAAAAGTAGAAAATTTGGATGGCCAAAATAGAACAGTGCAATCAGCAAAAATTATATTTTTTGCTTATTATTATTATCAGTAGTTGAAAAAAATTAAATAGTTCTTATGATTGAATATAATTTATATTATACCTGTATTGTATATTTGGTAAAAACCGTATAAGTGTATAACTAGTAAAAATAGTATTAATACCGCTAATTGGGAACTTACACATGCACATCATAAACACCTATTGGTACTCAGCAGGGCCGGACTGGGCGGGTGGGATACCGGTTGTTTTTTGGTGGGCCGCTTGTAATCGTAGGGACGTTTTTTTTTTTTAGGTTTATCGGTCATGGCTCATCCTGTCGACAGACATAGACTCATTTGTATTAGGCAACTATTTAGAATTAAGGAAATTCCTCATAATAGATATGAAAAAATGTATAAATTGTATAAATTGTCAAAAAAAAAGATGCTTGTGTGTTGTGTCATATTGACATATTATTGTCTTTGTTAATCGGTAATCCCTACCTTATCATAACGCACGCGCAGCACCGTCTAAGATGTGCGACAATTATCATTAGACAAATTCTCACCTATTCCGGTGCCGCCGTAGTGGCTAAACCTTAGTATAATAAATCATAATGTGCTTGGTGGACACAATTTCGCACAAGAGCTCGAACCTTAAAAAATTGCTTAAGTATTAAGGCGCCCGCGCCTGGTGCCGATACCATTTTGTCCTGAAAATACACTGTGGGAATAACGATACCGCCTTGTAGAATCAACCAAATTTCATAATTTTTGTTTTAATTGCTAGGGGGAAATATTCTACAGCCCGCATCGATCTCTGTCTTTCAATATTTTACTCTCAAGCTTTATAATATGTCTAAAAATATACAAGATAAAAAGCATTTTTTTACAATTTTTTTTAATACAATTGTTTGAAATAAAATACAAAATCAGAGATCGATGCGAGCTGTAGAAAGTCTCCTTTCAGATAAAATAATAGTCATCAAAATCCGACAATTCTACAAAGCCTGAGAGTTATTCCAGTAAAGTCATTTTTTTCGATAGAATACACCCTATCAACTCCCCCTAAATAGGCAATGGGTAGATTAGTGGAAAAGTCTTATAATTGAGGTGGAAGCTAAAATATAAAATTTAATTTTCAAATTTTATGGAATTGTGGACAATTTGAAAAACTGGCATCGGGACCCTTAACAAACGTTTTTGTTTGTTTACTCCATATTATTTATTTATTGGCTTTCTTTAATTATAAATTCTTTCAATAACCATCAATCCCAAGATTTCTCATATGCAGGCGTCTCAGGACGGATATTATTTAATTTTTTTTTCCATTGCTGTTGGTAACGATAGAAAATAGATGAAAAGTGTCTTCATGACTTTATATAATGTTATAGGTACGTTTTCGATCGTCCGTATACAAGTTATTCAATTATATGCGATACATATTATAATATATATACATATATATATTTATTTAGTTATTTAGGCTTCAAAATCTATAAGGGCATTAGCTTGAAGGGTTTTTAGTAGGTTTTTAACTGTTGGGGGAGGGTAGATTGGTTAGAACACGTGTATATGTGCGTGGATTTGTCACTAAAACTTGAGTGGTCACCCGTCCGGGAATTAGCGACACCGGCTGATGACTGACCTCAGAACACGTTACACGTTAGTGACTGAGGTCAACCACCGCGCCTTACCAGGCCACTAGGCCACATATATTTTATTTTAGATTCTGAGTGGAACGATGAATGTATTGATTTTACAATGATGTGTTTTTTTTTTTTTTTTTTTGTTGTGTTTGTCATCACCTTTTAGGACAGTAATAGTGCTTGGATTTTCTTCAACAGTATCTTTTCTAATAGGAAAGTGAATCTAGTTGGTACTTTGGGGGGGTCAAAAGTAAAAATTTCCCAGTAGTTTTCAAAAGAGTAGTAAAAAACAAAATAAAAATTAAGGAAAAACGGGAATTTTCAAGCAAAATCGACTTAGGTTTTTGGTGTAACTTTAAAACAAATGACAAGTGGTAGTGAGGCCCCTTATATAAAAAAATGTTTATATTATATATTAATATACCTACTAGGCGACCCGTCACAGCTTTGCCCGTGATTGGTTGTTTATTTTGCTTTCTAACGATGTTATATATAATAAATTATTCAAATTTTATGGTTTAACGTGATGCCTGGGTGCCATTGCAAATAATACCAGCAATCATTGCATGTTTTTACGGTGGTTTTTTTCAAGTAGAACATTTCTACCATGACGGTTAGGTTTCACATGTGCCCCGTGGTACATGGCATTTGATTTTGACAGACGGTCTCCTCCGCAGCAATTTAAAGCTGCAATCAGTAAAGTTTGCAAAGATACACTGCAACCATATCATTAATAATATTTCATCTTTCTTATTACCCCGTTGTATTAAAAGAAAATAGTCCAAGGACTTGATATTCTGAAATTCTGTTACTGAATGGCCACCTTTTCATGTATTTATTCAGTTTATTACTGTAAAACCATAGACCTTATACTTAAGTATACCTGTATACAACAAATTATTTATCTATATTATTATATCTATTTGTTGTTTATGCACATCAGATACTAGATAGAAATATATTTTTTTATAATAAATTATTTTATATTTAACTCATTCCTTTAAGCACTGGAATTTATATAGAATATCAGAATGAAACAATTGAAAATTGTCGGTCCAATTTGTCTCTTAAATCGGGAAGTTTCCGTTGAAACCTTTTTTTGGCTTGCATAAAGAAAGTAAACTGGCTAGTACCTCAATATTACTATTGATGTCATGGTCCACAGATATACATAGAACCCCATTAAGGAAGAGAGACGGCTATTCTAAGTTTTGAGGTCTATGTATAGAAGAGATATTTCACGAATATTGATTATAAAAAACGTGAACACCTAAATAAATAAATAAATTATTAATTGATATATTATATTATATATTAATAATTCATCAACTAATTAATAAATACAGAATTAACAAAAACAAATAATTGATAGAGTTATTTTATTGTTACATATAAATAGCAACATTTAACATACAATAATTATATACATCTTGTAAAAAAATGATACCATGTCTAAGTAATAAAAAACATGATACAATTATTAACAAATAATTCAAAAACTAACAATTAAAAGTCAAATAACTGACTATTCTTAATAGAGTTGTAGATGCCTACATCTGTTATTATAACTTCAATAATTTAATATGAGCAGATAACATTAGTACACAAAATACATAATTTATAAGTGTTGTAAATAAAGTAGTTGAATTATCACTTGTAATTTGAAAGTTCAAGTTCCTTGAACAGATGACGACAATACTGACTTCCAACTGATAATGGGTAATCACATTTTAATAACAATTTAGAATCACTCTCTGATACAGTTTCAAAAGCTATTAAATACTCTTGATCAAAAGCACCTGAAATAACAAATATTTTAACTAAGTAAATTTCAATAATAAATAATATTTATGTACATTGGGTAGAACATAGCACATCAACAGTATATGATACCATTTCAAAAACACAATAAGCCAAATTAAAGTTTTTTGAACACACAAAGTTAAAATACCAGAACTTAGAAGTTAAGTTAGGTAAGGAATTCCAGACAGCGATTTCAAGATATTGCTTTTGTGAAAAATCACTTCCAAATATAACACAGATAATTAAAAAATCTGTACTAAGAATATATTTTTTTTTATTATTATATAAAAAAAGTTTTTAATTATTAATTTGATACTAACTTATATCAATGTTCTCACGACCAATAGCTGTAATCGTTAAAAATAGTATGTCCCTGTATAACGAATGACTATGCGTCAAATCATTGCCGCGCAATTTGTTCCTCTCGTGAGCTAACTTTTTGAGTGGATCTATTAGATTATTACGCCGAATATTTGCTATAATTTTTGACATAACACTGAAACAAAATTGAAAATTATTATTTTATATTAAAATTATTGTTAGAGATTAGGTAGTATTTTCTTGACACTGATTTTATTTGCAAGGATAATGATCAATGAGGGTTTTGACAAAAATCATAATAAAATTGTTACTTAATATGTAAAATTAACATTATTTAATCAACGCCTCTTGGTTTGAATATAAATTCAAAAAAATAAAGTACATAATTTTTATTTTGAAATTGTTGTACTAAGATATTACTCACTTCTTAGGTACTGTATTGCGATCAGTGACCAATGCACTAATCAAACAACTCTCTTTCGACTCTTCATCAGACCAGAATGCATACATTGGAGAACCTAAATCGTCGTACAGTTTGGGATTGTCCCACAGAGTTGTTATTAACACATTGGATGAATCACAAGCTGACCAAATATCATGAAAATCAATGATATCTCGATCGCCAAGTACGCAATTTGCGTTTAGACATAAACCAGAAATATGGGATGGTACTGCTATTCTTTCAAATACCCAAACCTTAGAAATGAAATGCGATCGAATTAAGATTATATTACAATTAAATGAGTTAATTAATTAAAATCATTTACTAGATTCCAATATATTATAGGATGTTCATCAGCAAACTTGGAGTGTATTAATGAAATATCACCTTCGGCCACAAGAATTGACTCTAGTTCTTTGCGCAAAACAAGTGGATTTAAATAAGGAACTGTGATTGTGTCCGCTTTATACTCATTATTTGTTATTTCTGTAAATAAATTATTCACAAATAAGAAATATTAAATTGATAAAATATTTAATTGCTTTATTAGTTATGGAATAAACTAATTACAATTATATAATCATTTATCACTAATCACAATTATTCAAATAAACAAATCTATAAGTTCAATAAACAAATTCCATAAAATACCTCTTGTATTGTTTTCTGTTAGTAAATCTAAATTTTCTCGATTATTTTTGACGTTTTCGTCTGTTACATTGCTATTTTTTGATCGATAGTCAATCACATCTACAGTTAAAAATGGTACTACTTCCTTGATACATAGCCTGCATCTGTTATAAAATGTATGAAAAAATCTTAATCATTTTGAACACAATTAACGGTTGATTGGATTATTACTTTGTATTTAAATTAGAATCATCTGGAACCCAACCAGACATTATTTCTTCGTCAAACATTAAACATCCACAGTTGTGACATTTTGAACATGTGGTCATAACAATTTCTAAAGCAACCAATTCAGGCGTATGACTAGAACGCCTATAAAGCTTTTCTTGGAATAAACTTAATTGTGATGAATCCATTGTTGCACAACCTAATTTAATATAAATTATGTATACATATTATATACAAATATACAATACAGTATGTAATTTAAGTAATTATTATGTTTTTGAAGTGAAACATTTTTGTACCAGAATTCATATTTGTAGAACTACTTTTCCTGTTGCCATCAGTAAAAAGGTCAATTAAATTAGAACTCCAAGAATCTAAATGTTGGGCAACAGCAAGAGAAGATATCTCACTAGATATTTTACGTCTAACACTTGGCTCATTTGACTGTTGATCATTGTCATCTCCATTCCAATTGTCTTCTTCTCTTTGACATCTAAAAATTAATGTAATTAAAACAATTTAATCAAATAATGATGAGTATTAAATATCATTATTTGAGTTTCCACAGTTGTAGAAATTTTGTTTAAATATGGATACATTGTTAGTGTTAAATTAAAGTTAATCTATTTAATCCAATAAAAAAAAAGTTATACTAAACTGAACATAGTCTTTTATGGGGGTATTATTCGTAGATATTGCTTCTTTGATTTCATCAAATTTTTTCACCATTGTATTAGCGGCACTTTTCAAACTAGTTAACCCGCCCATTAGAAGCTCATTTGATTTTTTTCCAGAAAAACTTGATGAACTGAAAACATAATAAGTCATTTTTAAATTGTAAGTACAATTTTTGTCCATGATTAAAGTAATTTCCTAATGTAGTTTATAGTATAAAACAATTTTACCATTATGAATAATATGAAAAATATTTTGTATATTTTACAGGATATATTACATAATGCGCAATTTAGTGTTGCGTAGATTTTCTACATAATATGTGAGTTACAATTCGTGACCAATCTATAATTAAATATTAATGTGAAATATTACGACAATTGATACTTTACCTTAGATTGGTGAATGCATTTTCAATAATGTTGGTACCCATACGGAAGTCGGACTTACGCGGTAACGAAAATTTAGTCGGAGTATACTGACTGTAAATGTAAACAATAACTAAAACTACTACACAAAAAAAAATCTACCAACTAAAAATAAAAATAAAATAATATATAATATTCTGCTATTGACTAATTTCTAATTAATAACTAAAATTATGTAAAAAAAACTAAAAATCAATTAACGGAAAATGTATACATGCTTAACATTAGTATATTAGCTTAAACTTCTGAATTTGAGTATTGTATAGTTATGCGCCCGAAGAGATTTCAAAATTACAACTAAATGTTTTTGATCAGCACATTGTCTTAATATGATGATTTCGTCACTTAGTTGTACACAATTTTAATTTTCTTATATTATAAATATTTAGTTAAAAGAAAATCAAATAAGAATAAGTATAAATATAAGTGTTACACAAACATTTTTTTTATTTTTACTCAATTGATTGTAAGCATTTAGTTTGGAAAAATTTTATATTACATAGATTGTTATTTTTTAATTAGTTGATTAATATATATTTATATATATATAAGTTTTATCTTGCAAATTAAGTTATTCTGTATCAGTATTTTGTTACTTACGTAAAGGGTATTTTAAATGCTGATCCTAAAGCAGACTTGATTGGACTTTGTTGGTAATCTTGTTCGTTAGCACTATGAGCTGGCATAGTGGAAGATCTTTGTATATGCTTTTCGACATTACCTACATCTTCACTGTATGTAGCACTACGATGCATATTACTCCACTCACGAAATAATACAGGCGAGCCACTACGGTCTAGCTCAATACCAGACCTTACCCTTGGAACCGTAACTGATATATTCGGAATAGGTTCTGATGGTTCTTGAAATGCCCCCAAAGGATCATTTTCAAATACTGGAGTTCGCTGGGCTGGTTCAGCAAATCGATTAGGAGTACTTTCTTCATTTAGATTTTCTAGTGAAGACTCAAAAGACTTCAGACCATCAAATACAAGCTTCTTAGATATGCCATTTGACTTTTTAAATTCAGTTTGGTATTTAAGATCATTAAGATTTTTCAGAATTTGAGCATCATTACCAAAACTTTTAGAACTAAAAAAATATATGTACAATATATATTTATAAAAACTAGATTTATTTACAAAATATGTCTACTGATTAAATTCAGTTGTGAGCAACTGATCAACTACTAACTTACCGTTTTAATAATTTCAGTAATTCAGATGATTTGTCATTGGATGAATTGTGAAGTGTATGATGATAATGATGATGTCTTCTTGGTGAAATTTGAAGACGAACTTCATCTGTTAGAGACCCACTACGGCCTCTGAAAAAAAATATTTAACTATTTTGCTTCTCTAATTAAGCAACTGACGATTGAGTTTTAAATATTATATGCACATAAATCAATGTTTTAAATTTTATTTGTTGAATCTTAAATATTTTGAATTTTGAATTTATAAAAGAAACAAATTAAGCATGAATACAAAAAAAAAAAAAATTTAAATTAATATATTCTATGAAATAAAAAAAATTATTAATAACATCAAACCTTAACTTTTTAATATTTACAAAAAAACCCTACATTTTACTTTTAACTAGACTACCAACGTTTATAAATAATAACCAATTCTCAAACATCTACTGTAAAAAACTACTTGATAAAAAAAGATTACCTGATTATTCGCACTTAAATATAATCAAAAATACTGCTGATAATGGATAAAAAAAATATTAAAAAATAATTCTTAAATACCTTTTTAAATCAGATTCACTTTCAATAGATATTGAATCACTATTTTGTTTTGAACAAGCTGAACTTGGTCTTGAACAAGTAGTAGTCATCAAGAGACCAGCGCTACTTTCAACTAAAAAAATACATTTAACTGAGCAAACAAAATTGAATATTATAGTAGGTAGAAATAGCAGGTTTTACTATTGTTAATATATGTATTTACTCTTTTTTTTTTTTTATTTTATTTATTTAACGCCAAACGGCAATTTATAGATACATTGTACAATAAGTAGATTAACATGAAGTGATAATAATGAAATAAAATACATGGAAAATATAGTTATAAATATAGACTTAAGTTTAAACTATACTCTTCCACTATATTAAATTTAACCCTAGATCACACGCATTTACAATATTCACGAGAATACACGCACACGGTCTTTTTAGTCACACACAGTATGGCGCAAACCATGGTCAACTAACCAGTCACAATGAAAACATAATAAACAATCAATTTTGTTTATCGAGCAGCAATTGTTAGAAACACAGTTTAAAAATAACCCATACTTGATTTTTTACGATCACGCACACGGTCTTTTTGACCGTATATTAATACGTGATGCCTGGTAATGAACTTTGAACACTTCTATATTACTGACATCAGATCGTATACATTTGGGAGTTGTATTTAATTTTAGTTTATCGCCTAATAAGAAGTTACCTAGGTTGGATTATTTTAATATTTCATATTTTTGAAACAATGAACAAAATTCTTAAATCCCGGTCTTTTTGACCGTGAAGCGTGTGCTCTAGGGTTAATTAAATTAAATATTTTAATATTTACATAAATATAACTAGAAAGTTCTTAGATATTTAATTAAACTTGTATGTAAAAATGTATTTAATATATGTTTAATTTTATGTTTTAATAATGTTTATTAGTTAATTTTTGGGATGGGTTCTTGAATTTAATGAACTTTTGTATACCTTAAACTCCGAGAACTTCAAAATCAAATAGTATAAAATAATTAAGTTTTTTATCGATACTGCATTAGTATTATAGTATTGTTATTAAATTCTGTACCAAGAATTTTAATGTATGATAGTATAACTTTTTAATATTTAATACTTACATTGTTGTGAACTCCATGATTGTTCATCTTCAGTAGATAAGGATATTTGTTTGACAATATTAGTAGGACGACTCCTCAACCCAAAATTTGATTCTACATTTATGGATAATTTTCTAGGTGCTGAAATTTAAAATTTAAAGTTTAAATAATACATTTTGAATCAAAGTAATTATTTATAAATTACATTATTTTTCATAATATATTAATGTTTGCTTTTTATGTATGTAAATATGTATATTATGTGGTGTTTTGTATAAAAAATGTTTACTATACATATGTTATTGTTTATACCAGGGGTGGCTAATTTATGGACCCGTGCACGTTGACCAAATTTTCATGGCACGAAAAAATATTTTTATTTAATTTTTTATTCACAAAATGATCTATTATTTCTATAACATAAAGTCATCAATTATAAAAGTTAGGAAGTCACTGCTTTCAGACATAATATATTTGGTGCTTCGAAAAAAAAGTGGCTCATTTCAAATAAACTCAATATTTGCGTCAACATGCATAGGAGTTTATTTTCAACAATTCAATATTTTAAATCAAAACATAGCAATAATATATTATTGAATGAAGCTAATGCTGATTATTTCATTAAAACATTAAGAAAAACAATAAACACAATATATATTAAAATAATTTCAGTTAACTTTTTAAGACCTCCATTACAATGAGAAAAAATTATTTATAGGTACCTATGAACACATAATATTGGAACATGAATTTTTCTTCAAAATATGATTAGAAAAAGTTGGCACCTGACTCGAAAAAGGTTTGTCAACCCTGGTTTATACTTTCTATTTTAATAATTAATATCTATTACCTTGCAATATATATATATATATTATATGATAGACTGACAAACCATCTCTGCTCAGAATCATTTTTCATATGCAATAATTTATCATTGAAATTGCCATATATGTTATATTTCATATATGTCATAACCTAACATAAGTAGGTAGGGCCTCAGAATCAAATTGTGCTGATGCAACATAATATGTTGTTATTTAATTTCGCCGCCGTGCTTTTGAGTAAAGTACGACTGCTGTAGTAGAGTTTGATATGAGTGATTGTGTAAGACAGTTGTAAAGTCGTTTTGTCTATGTCGTAAGTATGTAAGACGACGGAGACAACACATGCGGGTGTGACGTCCTCTTAATATTTAATATAATTCATATAATGTAATTATTTTCTTTTTTATTAATACAGAGAAAAAAATAAAATCCATTAATAATGGCAACTTTAAAAATTCAACACTATTTTTATCAATTTCAGAAATACTAACAAGATATTTTATTTATTTATTATTTTTTTTTTTTAAAGCCACTAATATAAAACTAAGATACCTAACTTCACAGTTACAATAAAAAAAAATATACTAATATAGAATTAGCAGTACATCAGCAAGATATAAATATATAAAATTAACTATTTAAAATAATATTTCTTAGTAAGAAATACTAATAAAAATTTACTAAGTAATAACTCACTATTTGATATTGAAGGATGCTTTTCTGTTGTAGACAAGCTTTCTAAAGAGGTATGGGAATTTCTATCCTCTTCCAAATGTCTCCTTTTTTTATTCTGGGCCCCGGCTTTCTTAAATAATGCTGCACTTAATACCACATTTCTATAATAAAATATAAATGGTATAATTATATTATAAAGATTAGAGTTAATATTGATATATATATACATATTGTAATTTAGTATTTAATATACCTTTAATTAAGGTAATTTTAAAATCAAAAATGAATTATTAACATTAGTAAACACAGATCCTTGCCTAAGTTTTTTCCATAGTAATTGACTAGGTGTTCTTAAATCAGATGGCCAAGTAGATTCTAACAAAGCTCTGTTATAAAAACCATATGTTATTGCATTAGGATGAAGTCCACAACGTTTCATTACAAGTAATAGTTTTACAGCCAGCATGGGTTGATTGTAAATCCCGCATAACTGCATCATAACCCTGTAGCAAACCTAAATAACAAAACACAAATACAATAAAAGATATAACACAAAAAAAAATGAGCTTATTAGTTTTCAAGGCTTAATAAAGTTTTCGATATCCACATCTGTCAAAACAGAAATCTTAACAGATATGTTATGCTTATGATAATTTATCACATTTGAAATTATTTCTCATTAAAAAATCAATAATGGATTTTTATATTATCCAGAATTAATCAAAATACCTAATAAGTTATTAATATTGTTATTCAAAATTAGTTGTTTCTTTTTTACCATAAGGATCAATAAATATTTTATTTTTATGTAAAATACTTAAAGACAAACCTCATCGGTCAATAAATGTACGCCAGTTTTTTGAAATTTATTTAATAACTCATATGCTGAACGTAGAGTAGATGTGGCACGGTCTTCTGATTGAAGAATATGACTTGGTAAATGAATAAACCACAAACTAGAAAAAATAAATCCCAATTAAGATTTACTATAAAACAGCTTACTTTATTTATGAATAACATTATTGGATAATTATATATTTATAAAAAATATTCTAAAGTTAAGTAAGCATGAAATTAAATTGTATATTAAAGAAAAAAGGTGGGCAGGTGGGTGTCCCTAGTTAAGGGACAAGTCTAACAGTAGGTTACACGTGGGTCACTATAATGGATGGTGTTAAATTTGAATTCAATGAAATAATATCATTATATAAGAAAAACAATTCTGAGAGGTGACGGTTTGTCAGTGTGGATATTTTATATTATTTTTATATTGTTATTAGCTGTCGCACCCGGCGTTGCCCGGGCAAAAGTTACTTCAAATGAAATACATTGACAATATTATAACTTATAAGTTATAAGTAAAAGTTCAAGGACTCAAAAACTCATTAATTGTATATAAATTATAGCTGATCCCGTTCATTTCGTTGCTCGTTAAAATATTATATACCAACTCTATATGATTCAAACTTTGTTTGACTGACCGTCAACCTATGATATTACTAAGTATATTTGATGATATTATTGGGAATAAATTATTTAAGTGGAAACTTGAAAAAAAAAAATTGTGACTGTGTATTTTTAATATTCTTCAACTGATGAAGTAACAATACACCAGGAGCCTTGTAATAAATTTTCAAGCATTTTTACACAACAAATACAATTTTATTGACAATTATAGAAAAAAAATATTAAAAACTGAAATGGTCGTAAAAAGTTCAAAACAAATCAATATTTTTTTTAAATTTTATCAAGTGTAGAAAATGTTAATATAAACAACCAGTGAAAATGTCATGTATATACAGTAATTTTTTTAGTTACACCAATTTTTATGTTGTTTTTTTGTGCTTTTTAAAACTATTGGGAATTTTAATTTTGACCTCCCGAATACACCAACTAAATTCACTTTCCCATCAAATAAGATACTGTTGAAGAAAATCAAAGCAGTTTTACTGCCCCAAATAGTGATGACCGACACAAAAATTAAATAATAAACAACACACACATCATTTTAAAATACTAAAATCTCTACGCTCAGAATCTAAAAGTTATGTAGGGTCTGTGAATATTATGAATGGCAAACCTAGAAATATAAAATATAATAAAACAATTATCTTTCAATAAATATATGCTAAATAAATATTGTAATACATCTAAGAGTAATTAACATAATTATGATAAAATATTTTAAGATCATAATATTACCTATAGCAAGTTCCCAGTATAAATTTAGCCCAAAGACTAGGAGATGTAGAATATTTACGGGCTAGTTTTTGAGCTGATTTAACCTCATGTTTAGTACGTCTAGCCATTGGACTGCCCGGAATTGGTAGATGTTCATCATTTTTTACTTTCAAATAATTTTTTGACTCTTTACACTTTAATAATTCAGAATTTAGGATAAACCCATTCTAAAAATAAAAATAATTTTTTAGTAAATTAACAACTGATTTTAACTTAATATATATTATTGTATTTTACTTCATAAGTATACAGAGTATCAAATGGTAAATCATTCATTTCTGGAGGCATTATGAACACAGTTCTTTCACTTTCGCCACATGTGTCAAGCTCTATCAGTCTTGTATCATAGTTTTCTAAATCAATCTGAAATATAATTTTGAAAAACCTAGTTATTGAGAAAGATAAATTATTGGGTTAAATAATACTTTTTCTGAACACTCATCAAAAAATTCTAAAGCAGCATCCATGTTGGATACAAATGATCGTTCTTCAATAAATCTTATAAACATTTGAGTTTTTGTTAAAAGGGAATAAAATTTCACATTTGTCTTTTCTCTGGATTTTAAAAAACCTAAACATTCAACAGAACAACAAGCGTTAGTAAATAATAATGTCCATGATTATGATTTGATTCTTCGACAATATATTCTTTCATTTATGGAATACCAAATATTATTTTATGTCACAATAATGTTTGCGCTATAATTACCTTGCAAATCAAATAATGAACTTGTATCTGTTGCCCCAACAGTAGGTGCTTTAGTAATAGGCCTTAGATACCATCGATATCCTTTTAGTACAGACCCCATAAAACGAAGAAAAGCTTCCTGAATCTCTAATTCTAATTCATGCTAAATATAAATATTAAATGGTTAGTATATTTAATAAAAACAATTGTTATTTTCAATATATAAATCATAGTTTAGTAAAATACTTCAAACATTTATAATTTTAGTAGAAAAAAGTTATAAAACGATATAACCATTCTCAATTAAGATGTTTATTTTGTAAATGTTATTATCCAAATAGTACTAAATATTCCTTATAGGCATGTAATTAGTTGTATAATATATATATATACAGGGTGTCCCGTGAGGATTTACTCATTGCGATATCTCCTGAAATAATGGAGATATCGTAATTATGTTTTTTTATTAAGACTCGCAGAGGTAAGCACTACAAATATTTTATTTTTTAATTAAATTAAATTTTTTAGTAAAAAAGTTAAAAAAATTATTTTTTTATTTTTGAAAAAATTGAAGATAGCCATTCTATAGAGTATATTTTTGTGAACATTTTGAGCTTTTAACATTTTATTTTCATTAATCTCATGATTTTTAATAATTTTTTTAGTTTATTAGTAAAACGTCAATAAACTGGTTTTTGGCTGGGCGGCGAGTCCCCCTCTACGGCTAATGAGTAAATCCTCACGGGACACCCTGTATATATATACCGTGTGATTCTTTTATCAAACAACACTCATTATTTCAAAAAGTGTAAATTATTTTGAAGATATTTTTTTACATAGTTTCAAGTCGCTTATAAAACAACGTTTTTATTAAAAAATTATATTTTTAATTATTTTTTATCCTTATAATTTTTTAAGTTTTTTACTTTTTTGAATGACAACATAGGGTTTTAATTTTATATTCTAAAGTAGAATATTTTTCTTAGTATTTGGATACATGAAAATTGAATTTGGGGCGAGTAGTTTATGAGTTATAAGTATTTAAAGTTTAGACGAGCGGTGAAGTGGACAAACATTTCGCGGGGTAACCCCGAACCACTCCACTCCGCTCGTCTAAACTTTAAATACTTATAACTCATAAACTACTCGCCCCACATTCAATTTTCATGTATCAAAATACTAAGAAAAATATTCTACTTTAGAATATAAAATTAAAACCCTATGTTGTCATTCAAAAAAGTAAAAAACTTAAAAAATTATAAGGATAAAAAATAGTTAAAAAAATATTTTTTTAATAAAAATGTTGTTTTATAAGCGACTTGAAACTATGTAAAAAAATATCTTCAAAAAAATTTACACTTTTTGAAATAATGAGTGTTGTTTGATAAAAGAATCACCCAGTATATAGATAAATACAACTATCATTCAATATCAATAAGGTAATAGTCACATTAAATATAATCACATATTGTCAACATTACATACATAAATAAATATGTATTTCTTTAGTGTTAAATCTCCATGAAAATATCATTATTTCACTTGTAATTTGATATGAGTTTTATCCACCGAGAATATTCTACATTCAAACATATTTTAACCAAAATGCCATTTTTTTTTATTACAAATTGTATTACTATGTATGTGAACAGGGTGATTAGTCTAATAGTTATCGTCCATTATCTTGAAGGGTATTAGTTTTTAAAATTTTTTTTTTCACCAACACAATTTAAAGTCATTAGAAAGTTTAATATTTTTATGAATGACAGCATACATTTTAAACTTTTGAACTTCATTTTTCAAAGTAAAACAGTTTTGCTAAGTATTTTGATGTATATTAATTTTTTTCTTATAGTACGTCTAACTCTTAGAAGATAATTTCCAAATTAAAAATGTAATTCAAAATCATACAAATCTAAAAAAACACATTTTGATTTGTTAGTTTTAATTAGAAAAAGTGTTATTTATCATGAAATTTGTAGTTTTCAAATTTCTTAGAGGGCAACATAAATTTTTTTTTATGTCATCAACTTACAAATCCTAGTTATAACTAATTAACTACTCTTTTAAAAATTTAATTTTTTACATCAGGATATCAAAATATATTCTGTTTTGTAATATGAAATTAAAATACTATAATAATACAAAAAGTAATGCATGTTTTCTTATCAAAAAAAGGAAAAAACATATTTTCATAAGTATTAATAGTTTTTGAAATAATGAATATTTTATGAAAAAAAAAGTCATTCTGTATAAGTATATTCATATCATATTCATAAATTATCAGTTCTGTGTTCATACTTAATGACCTTGCACACATGATTTTTTTTTTTTTAATAAAATATTGTTAAATACTTAATAGATTAACCTATTTATGTACAGAAATATAATGAAATATTTCTGATGGAAAGGAGAATGCAGTGGGTATTATCACGGTTGCATATCTGAAAAAGAATGTTATAAAAAAATAATCTTTGTGGGCCATTAAATAAGAAATACATACATAATGAAATGAGACAGTATACTAGGACACTAGGTGATCCATTTGAGTGTCTTTAATCATTATTTCAGTTATAACTTTTTAAAAAATAATTAATTAGAAAATAATTCTTTTACATAATTTAATAGTATTATAAAATAACATAAATAAAACAAAATGATACTTTTTACAACTATCATATTTTCAAGACCCTTGTTAACTGTTAAGTTAAAAACATAGCTATTTAGAACAACAACATACAGTTTTGATTTTATATTCTGAAGCAAAATATTTTTTGGGAATATTTAGATACATATACATAACATTTTGAACAAGAAATTGTTACAAGTATTTAAAGTTAAGATAAACAGAGAGGTTGACCAACATTTTAAGGAATACTCACTAAGAGTGCTACTACTCTAATCATAAAAACTTACAATACTTGTAATAGCTTTTGAAATAATGTTTGATGAGAATTAAATGGATCACCTTGTACAACAATTTATAGTATGATAGTTAGTGGTTGTCAAACTTACATTTATAATACTAAAGCTATTTGATACTTATTTTTAAGTACTGAAAAATAGTAATTTCTTATTCAATCCTATTGTAAATAATAATAATAAATTAACAAATAATATGTATTACACTATTACCTCTTTCCGTTTTTTTAAAAAATCTCTATCAATATTAGTTTCTTCAATACTTTTGTTGCAAGTAGCCTTATAGGTTCTTTGGAGATCATCAAGTTTTTCGTTGAGTTTTTCTAAAGTATTCTTTAATGTCCTTGTTGGTTTTTTAGGAAGTAGTTTTGCTGTTAAATGTTTTTTATCTTCACAACTTTGTAAGCAAAATAATAAATTAAAAAATGTATGTTATTAATTGAATAAAATTAAAAAAATATTCTTACAGTGTAATAGTGTTAGTATCCAGATCCACACAAGTTACATCTGTGGGTGGCTCATATAAATCAAAAAACCTTGAATCAACTCCAATCAGAAATGGTAATGGAGCGTGTAAGACTTCAGCCAAACTAAGAGGACATAATGGAATATATGGACATTGCCATTTAAACGGAAATATCAGCTGAAATTTATTTATGACTATTATTATTTGTTACATATTTTTTGTTAGCAAAAATACATAGTTAATTATTGTAATATTTAAAATTAAAATATTTTAATTTAATTTATTTACCGTGGAAACCGCTTCTGCTACTGCCGTAAGTACATTTGGTCTTAAAGAATGAATGAGAAGTTTCTGTTCCGTTAAAGCACACAAAAGTAATAGAAGACAATTATCAGGATGTAAATTCATAATCATTTGATGAAAACCGGCACCACTATAAATATATTATTGAATTTTATATTAATATACAAATTACCAATAAATGAATATAGTATTTTTTAACTATTAATAATAATAAAACAAAACTATATATTTTTTTAAACTCTTAAACTAAAATTGGAACATACAGGTTTAATAAAAGAATTCTATTATTTAGGTGTTATATTACAAAATATAATTGTTGTAATTTTACTTGATCTGTATAAGATACAAACGCAATCAAGATATTTCTGTTATTAGGAGTTAAATACATTTTTTACTGTAATACATACAATCAACCTTACAATAAAAAAGTAAAATAAAATGTCTAACCTGTCTGAAATACTCAATTAAATTACCTTCTAGGAATGGGTAGGTCTTCTGGTTGAGTTAATATAAGCTGAGTATCTGTTGATAATTGTACAAGTATCTGCGGTCTTTCTGGGGATGGAAATGGTACTTCATCCACCAGATGTGTTATATATCTTTCAATAGGTATGGGTATTTGTTCATTGAGAGAAGTATTTAATAAAAACATTAAGAATTTTTGAAAAGTATCGAAAAAAGGCCAGTGTGACAAGACGCACACACTCTTATTAGCATGTAAACTGATTCCTTTTTTTAACTCATTTGAATCTTTTAAACCTAATAATTTTTGTTGTTCAATAGAAAGTTTTCCATTAAACTTTTCATAAAAAGTAATTGCAGCGCCATAGACCTAATTAGAACAATCAAATTATTATTAAATATTATATTTAAGGTTTCTTCTTAAAGAAACTATTGTATAATCTTTAAATGCATACTTTTTCTGAGGCATCGCTAACAGTTAAAACAAATGTTGAAAATATAGGATCTGGTTGAGATGCTTCATCAGGCCATGCTTCAAGTGTGGCTCCCATTGGTAAACAAAATAAAGCGACTGAAGGCAGAAGATGGAAGTAATTTCTATCTGTCTTAGGATATCGATCAGTAATAACTACAAAGCATTATACAAATCACCAAATTATTGTTAAATTAAGATTTAGAAATAAGTATAAAAGAAGTAGTTTTTACCTGGTTTATAGGTAATAGACTTGGGCTTCATAACAGACTTTTTATAGCATAAATAGACATCTGATCCAACCATACCTTTATTGAGATTTTTGTGTATTAGACAAAATGCATGAGGTGGTGTTTCACCTCGGCTGGTTATAACTACGCATACATGTGATACAGCTAAAATATTACATGGTGCAGTAGGTGATGCTCTTCGATAAGTTATAAAAGTACGAGATGATGTAGAGTTATTGATATTTGCTATTTGACCACTAACACTTGTTTTTAAAACTTTAGCATCATGCAATACCCTTTCTTTGCCATCATACATAATACTGAAAAAAAATCCCACACATTTACACAGAATATAAAAGTAAAAATGTAAAAATCTGATTCTTTTATACTGTAATTTATATTTTATACTATTATACTCAGGCCAATTGTTTTGCTTGAATTTAAAATTAGATATATATAAGTATGGGTTTATAGTTGTGATAATTTTTTTTTTTTTCGTATGTCCTGGAGTAGGCCCAAAGGCCTAGTTCAGACGCCTATTTGGCAGTATTTCTATTTGGGCACCTGTAGGTTTCTGCCATACCCGGTTGGGGGATGGCAGTATCACCGTCCAGACAGTTGCCTACTCAGAGAGTGATGCCGCCCGTGGCTGAGATTCAAACCGGCGACGGTGGACATTACAACCAACACCATAGTTCACTCGTCCACTCCGACCCCCAGTTGTGATCATTGCACGATGGAATGCATATGAAGATGTATGTGTGTTTGCCATACGGCAAACTTTGTACACAACATGCTCGAGCACCTCTTTAATTATTGTAAAATTATTTTGAGTAGTTACCAGTTATGTTATCAATATATTAGATGAAGTTTGTCTGAAATGATATCATGCCTCACATCTGTAGATAATACGATTTATTCAATAAGTAATGCAAATAGACATGAGATTTCAAGCAAGAAATATTCTTTATTTATTTATTTATTTATTATAGACTTTAAATATTTAATATTTTAAATATTATCCTAAATTTCAAATGTGCCAGTTGACATTTTTATTCAAATAGTGGTATAAGATTCCATTAACCCTTTCAATGCTCACATACCATTACATCCAAAACATTTACAAACTGCTCTAGACATACTATTATGTTCCTGTATTAAATAAATACATTGGCGAAAATAGTGTTTGAAATTTGGGGGGGCTGAAGCTCAGGTCTATACTTGAAACTCTTATGATGCTTTTAAATTACTTAGTGAAATCATTAGTTTTTGGGGGGCTATAGAAACTTCAAGGGGGGCTAAAGCCCTCTAGCCCCCCTCCTATGAATAAATATAATACTATCATTTGCTGGTAACCGTACAACTTTAGGAAAACTTGGCTTGCATTATTTTTAAGTTAAATAATTAAATTTTATAGGTTTAAAAATTTAAAATTTAAATAAATTAATATTTACTTTTAAGTAGCATACACAGGTTGCAGTGCATAAATAGTGTAACAATGAAAGAGTTAAGCTAATTAAATAACCGCATAAATTGAAGAAATACTAATTGTTTAATAAGGGTAATTAGAGGAGTAGGATAAATTATCAATAAAGATACCTAGTAAAATGTTTTTAAGAATTCAACTTGCATTAAAATTATAAGGAAACAAATATATTTATAATATAAAATATAACAGTTAAAATATAAGTAATGATGATATTAATTTACATCTTTAATTACCCAATATCAACGATGGGAGGCTTATTACGTCCACGCTGGTAACATAAAAATACTTCTGGACTCCTTAGACTTCCATGATTTAAATCTGCTACTAGACCTAAAATTGAAATAATGTTAGGTAGATTCAAACAATTAAGGGTTTAATCATAGACTCACCAGTAGGAGTTGTCTCTATAAGCGTATAACCAGGAGGTACCTTTTCACCGAGTGAAGGAAACACTATAGCTAAATCGGTAATTGGCGGTAAATCAGAACATAAACTTTGCTTTAGATGGGTAGAGTTAGAATCATCTTGGGATTGTTCATCGGATGCCCCAACTACTACAAAATAATCAACTACTCTTCGTTCTTCCATAATTACTGAAAAATAAATAACAAAAAAAATAGTTATTTGTTTTAAGCAAGGTAATAAGATATTATATACCTACAGTAAAATATTACACAAAAATCATGAAAAACAAAACCCAATACAGCCTTGGATGATCCAAGGTGATTTTGCAATACAAAATATTTAGTTACCTACTTTTTATGATAGAAGTAAAAAATAATATATATGTACAATATTATATGTCAATATTAATTATTTATTGGTTCGAATCGTAATATAGAACACGGTCCATGAGCACCTGCAGCCATCGCGGTGCAATTGATATTAATTTAAAAACATTAACACATTGTTATAACTTTCCTAGCAGAAGTAAACACAACACTGACAATCTGGAGAGTGGAGAAAAACATTCTATGATATTATGTAGGTAGTTGTAGACTGAATGAAAATAATAATATTATACCATAGTATATTATAGATAAGTATACGAATTACGAACCTATTGTTCATTAACAATTCAATTGATAAATTGGTTTTAACTTCAGTAGCAAAGTGTATGATAACAAAAATGATAAAGACACGGAATGTAAATAGATGTAATATTATGTACGTAATGGGTGGTAATATTATGGTAATTTGCAGTGTTGGTCACCATTGGTCAAATATGGAATATTATTTTCTTATCATTGTTTGTTTTATGAACACCACCACTCATTTATCTTTTATCTACGGACTACGACTATTGAGTGTTGAGTCTGTACTCTGTAGTCATTAGTCAATAGTCAGTAGTCACTTGTATACCAGTACACTTGTTTGTTTGTTTTATGAACACCACCACTCATTTATCTTTTATCTACAGACTACGACTATTGAGTGTTGAGTCTATACTCTGTAATCACTAGTCAGTAGTCACTTGTGTACCAGTACACTTGTCTATGGTAGTCAGAGTCAGTAGTCACTACTCTCTTGTGTGAACTGTGAAGCATACAAAAAAGATAGGTCTGAAGTCTCTCCTCACTCTACTCACGTCTGACTAACTACTGTCTACAAAGTCACTACTCACTAGTTCTGAAAAGACTCTATTTTTTTTAATTTTCATGCCTTCATGGTTTATTTAACTTTGTTTATTTACCTGATTTAGAAAATAAAAAGTTTAATGCAATATTACAATAAACATTCTACTGTTTGTAAATTAACCCGGTATTTCAATAATAATTTGACTTGATGCCCTATGTTATGTTGTGTTATTAACTATTAGAATGTCAAATCTGTGTAGAGACGATTTCGATTCGGGTCCTAAACATGTATTTTCTATTGAAGACGGTCTATGGCTAGGTAACAACAAAATTAAATCACATTCTAATGCACATTTTTATGAGAACAAATAATAATAATAATAATGCTACTATGTGCTATGTATTAGCTATAAAAAATCAAACTTTTAAAGCTATAATATTTCATGTTGGAAAACTTTTTTTCTTCATTATTAATATTTAAATATATCTGTTTTCATATTATATTTTAATTAGTTATAAAATAAACTGATTAACCTATTGTTTTAATTCAGGAAACTTAACAGCTGCCATAGATTTAACGTTTTTACGAAGCAACGGAATTAACTATATAATAACAGTGGATTCTTGTCCATTGCCAGAAATTATATTAGATTTGAGAGACATTAATGTTAAATATATACAAGGTAAATACATTTTCAAAATTAATTCATTAGTTAAAATTATTTATATATTATATTATATTTTGTATTTAATTAGTTATTAAAATGCATCCCTACTATATCAAATAACCTAGATGATGTATTCATTATGTCTACTTATAATTTATTTAGTTAATTATAAGGTTTTAAAATTAAATCATTTAAATTACAAATATTTATAGTTACCGATATGGATGGAGAAGATCTTTTAAGCCATTTTGATGGTGCATATGAATTTATAAAAAAAGGTCAAGAAAAAAGTTCTGTTCTTGTGCATTGGTGAGTATACAATTATTAAATTAAGTATTTATTTTATAATATATAGGTAGTTAATTATTTACCGTTACAAAGCATTTAGCTTAGACAAAAATAATCCGACTTATAGAAATTTAAAAATATAACACGTAGGTAATCTTGATATAAATATTTAGTTTAAAATTCCATATTTATATCTATCAGTCTACTCTATAACTTATTAAAATTTTATTAAATCAAATTGAAAAAAAAATGTGTTTATGTACTTTTAGCTATTATGGAATATCCAGAAGTGCGTCAATTATAACAGCGTATATTATGAAGAAGTATAAAATTAGTTTTGATGACGCTTTCCAAAGGTATGTAGACAAATATTTATTACGCAATGACTCAATATAACAGGGGCGTCCAACCCACGGCCAGTATGCCGCCCTAAAAGTTTTTTTTGACCCTTAGAAGATATATTATGCACTAAATATATTTAATAATTTTTAAGTGTTTGAGTGTGATTAAAAAAAAAAATTATTATTATTATCTGTGGCGTATCCAGGCTTTTTTTTGTGGGGTTACAAACACCCCCCTCAAATAATTTTGACCTTGTCAACCAGATCAGCCTTATTATAGATATTTTGTTGTTGAATTTAGAATCATTAACTTATTTCTATTGAAATTATGTAAAAAATTAATTTTTACTAACAAATTATGTCTTGATTTTTAATTTTACATACCTTATTTAAAGTTGTTTATTAATTCTTATTTTGTAGTTATATTATATATAAATAATTATAATCATTGTTATTTATCAAGAATTAGATTTGGCAGTAAGTACCTATAGTCTAGCATATTGTAGTAAATGCGATATTATATAGTTATATATAATGAATCACAGACATTTTCTCCCCAGACAATTTCCCCCCAACGGTTTTCGGTGAAGTGTAGGACATTTCCACCCCGATATATTTTTGATGCGGAAATTTTCCCCCCATTTTTTTTTAAAGTTAACTATTTAATAATATAATATTATTATTTAATATGTATAAATTTATGCCTATTGACTAATATTTGTTAACCATTGTGTTAGGGCATTAAATTGGATAGTGAGCATATTATAATACTTATTCCAACATTTTTCAAGACAATTATTTCATTAGTTATTAAATACCGATAAGTCATAAGTGATTTCAATCCTTAATTTTATTTTATTTCTGTAAAAACATTTAGGCATAATACAGAATTATTTAAAGAAATAAACAAAAATAACTATTAACTATTGATTTTTTTTAGAGTTAAAGTTAAAAATGCAGCTGCATTGCCAAATATTGGTTTTCAAGCACAACTTAGTTTGTATGAAACTCTGGGATGGAAAATTGACAAAAACAATATGCAATTTAAACTGTTCAGACTGAAAATAGCTGCTAGAAAAGTAAAAAAAGGTTTGTAATTCTATCGAATATTAAAATTATATAAATTATTATATACCTGGTGTTATAAGTGTATAGAACAAACTATACTTATAGTATAGTAAAGAGTATACTTTTGCCCCCCTTGGATTATATTTGAGGTGTCAATTGCCCCCTCTGCCCGCCCTTCTCCAATGCCTCTGAGTTGGTTGGTTTGTAATGGAAATAAACAATAGTTAAAGGTTAATCTAAAATCCTTAGATCATATTATACTAGTATATGATCTAAGCTAAAATCTAAATACTTTACAAATATCATTGTCAGGGGTTTCATTTCAGAATTTTGCATGGAGTTCTAAAAAATGTTACAATCATAAGTTTAAAAAAGGTACTATCAGATTTAAAATGTATTATTAATCATGACAAAATTTTAATAATTAGTCGTTTTTTCTATAATACAAATTAAATCTAGTAGGTAGACCCAGGGGTTGGTGTTTGGGTCAGCTGACCCATAATTTTTTCTCGTTGTCATGTGGCCCCTATGTCCCTATTTCAACATAATTACATAAGACTGTTTTTAAAAATAATCATTTGAAAATTGGACACGGGGCTTAATATAATGTCATATTGTAGAAGTATAACAATTGTATATTTTACTAAACAATAATCAATATCTACTAATAAATATCTACCTACGCTACAATTAAAAATGTCATAAAAATGTTTATTAGGTACTTATAATTTCCAGTAATAAAAACTTGTAAGGGATCTTGTATCAAATTTAAAAATAATACATTTTTAAAACTTAGATGATGAAATTAAATAAACAAAATTTTTTTAAAATTTTCATGATTTTGATGAATATTGTGAAACAAACTGTGTATTTTAATATATTTTATTTGCTAAAAGAACAACTTATGAAGTATCAAACATTATATTTTCATGGTTTTTTACCCACTAATATAATTTTTGTGCATAAATAAAAAAAAAAACTAAAACTAAAATTACCTATAAGAGGGCGCTACACGGATGTTTGTTGTTTTACAGTAGTGCATAACATAGCAAATTCGTAGCAGATCACGTTGAACTCTGTTAGTTTAAAAATTATAGTGAATCAACATAATATTCCAGAACTTGATGGTAAGAATATTATCTGTGTTTATAATATGTGGATTTTTTACAATCAGTTTTTAAGTGAGTTAAAAGCATTTAATTTACGCTATATTATATACGCATGATTTACTAAAAAATGTAACTATTGTAAAAACCCACATACAAACAAATAGTGTACTTACCAGTTACCATCAAGTTTCATAATAAGTCAATTCACTCTAATTTTTAAACTAATAGAGCTAAACGGGTTCTCCTGAGTGTAAATTTGTTGTTACGCACTTGTAAGATGAAGAGTGTAGCGTCGTCTTAAATATGTATACATCATATCTAAACATTGATGATATAAATTTTAGGAAGAAAAATCAGGTCTACAGTTCTTCGTTTTTGAAAAACGGTGTTGTGTTAATATTCCCGTTTTCTTTAATTTTAATTTTTTGTTTTCCCAGATTATTTTCATAAATACTGGAATTTTTTTTTTGACCTACATATGTACCAACTATAATTATATAGATTAAATGTATTACCAGAACCCCCCTTGATGTTTAAGATCAAATCATGTTGACTATAAAATGTGTAAAAAAAAAAATACACATTGTAAAATTAATTAATTTGTCTCGGAATCTAAAATGATAAATTAAATTTTATATAATTAAATTTATATTTTTGTTCTAGTTAAAATATTGCCACAAGACTGTATTGACGTTATTAAAGGAGACCCATCTCTAATATGTGCTAGACCAGATCCAAAAGTTTATCGATGCCGTAAATGCCGGTATTATTTTTATTATAATAATTATTATTGTACATGAATCAACTGTTTAAGAGGACATGATATCCATGTGTGTTGTCGTCTCCGTCTTACAAGTGCCTAACATTGAAAATGTTATGCTCATCAGAACACATGTAGCTCCGTTAGTTTAAAAATTTATGAACTTACCTCTAATAAGTCGGAGCTCCCCTTCTAATTTTAATTTTTTTTAGCGTACCCCTTCTTATATTTTTAATTTGGACGGTACGTCCCCCATGTCAATTATTATTGAAAAACTTGTTAATCTATAGTGGAACCTTTTGGTGGCCGTCCCTCGACCCCCGTCGACCATTTCGTTTTGAAGTCCATGATTTGAACAAAATAATATAGTTCAATGAATATAATATAGTTCAGTTCAATGAATAATATTGTGCCTACTAAAAGAAATGCTTTGAACCCAAAAAGTATTTCTTCTCTTATGCTGATTAATTGTGTGGGGGCCACCAGTGTACATGTTTGTACCTGAGCCTTATGTTGTATTATGGATCCAAAAGGGCAAACAATGTGCTGATAAAGTTGGGTGCAATACGATTGCGCGCGGTGCTTATCAGCGGTACCTTTTTAGACATACTCTAAATTATTTTAACTTCTTAGCAACGTTGCCAAATATACAGGTGCGAAATAAAACTTTAATTACAGAAAATATACTTAAGTTTTTTAGCCTTAGTTGGAAATCAGTATCGGGGCTTTAAAATTTAACTTAAAAATATTAAATGTAATTTGTCAACTTTTTTCAATTATTTACTTTTTAATTTATTTATCTATTCGAATATTTAACCATTTTTAATGAATATTTATTTTTTATAACGATAATTATTTACCTTTATGACGTGGACTGCGTATATTTAACAATATTTTTTTTTATAATAATAAGTACTTAAGTAAATGTATTAAAAACCTTCCTGAATGGATGAACTTGTATCTGTATTTAAATATAAAAATTAATTACGAAATAACTAAAATTTGTTACAAACAATTTTGCAACGTCGGATTCAATTTGACATGCAATTATACGCTTTTGAATATTCAAAATCATGTTCTTTGTTATTCCGGAACTGCGCGCAATCGTACTCCATCGATGAAGTTAACTGTCCTAAGTGACAAAATAATGAAGATAATAATCATTCATATGTAGAACTATGGAATATACTAAAAATGTAAGCAATTAAATTTTGTATTTTTAAAATAAAATTAAAATGATTTGTTTGTACCTAATTTAATAATATTTATTTATAGTATACATTGTGTATAGTTATAGGTTGTATTGTTTGATTGCTGTTGTTCACACTACTTGAGGGGTGTGGGGGGCGAAGCCCCACACGGGATAGGTTGATTTAAATCTTTGAGTGGAACGCTAATTTTTTAAAAGTCATTTACCACCCCTTCTTTTATATTTCTAATTCGAGCACTGCCTCTAATAAAATCTAAAGGTAAAATTATTTTCTAGGCAACCTAATAGGCTTTTTATTATATTTTAATTTTAAAGCGAGTTATGAGTGTTTTAAAATTGTTAATTGTTTGTACATCTTAAAATACTCATAACTCAATTTAAAATTAAAATATAATAAAAAGCCCACGAGGTTGCCTAGTTAATAATCTTACCTTTAGATTTTATAAGAGGTCAGTTCATACATTTTATTCACTCTAATTTTTAAATTAACGGAGCTATGTGTGTTCTATTGAACGTAAAATTTGTTATGTTACACACTTGTAAGACGGAGACAACACATGTGGGTATTACATCCTCTCACTATTATTATTATTATTATTTTAGAAGGATTTTAGCTTTACAATCAAATGTATTACCCCATTATATCAATGAAAAATTGTCATGGAAAGATTCAAAATTATCTTCAGATGATTCAAGCTCTCAACTATGTTCAGACACAATATTTGTTGAGCCAATGACTTGGATGTCAGTGAGCCAATCTGAAAGTGGAAAGATCAACTGTCCAAAATGTCGATCTAAACTTGGCTCATATAGTTGGACAATGGGATGTCAATGTCAATGTGGTGCCAAAGTATCTCCAGCATTTTATCTTGTGCCATCTAAAATAGATTACAGTGGATTTTTGCAAAATGTTCAGGCTACCGTTTGAAAACTTATTATCTTAATAATGATATTCCAAATGAATATCTTGTGTTATCCACTTATTAATAGATGTTAAACAATAATAAATTGTTGATACTTAAGACAATAAACCCAATATTCACATAACCGACGATCCTTTTATTCATAAAAGTAAAAATTAGGTAATTAACTTCATCGGCTTACCAACATTTTGAATATTTATACATTTAGTAACGTTACACCAATTATTATTACTTTATTGTAACAACGTTTGAAAAATTTATCATTGAAAATACTTTAGACTCTAGTTATATTTTATCTAAGAGTCTGTATGTAATACTGCCAACAAATTCAACCAAAGTTCTTTTATTGAAATTGTAGCTTACTAAAGGACAAATAAGTATTTTAAGTTTAAATTTAACAGAAATCTGTTTATTTAAGTGTTCATAATAAAAATATTTATAAAATGTAGCTTGAAATACCTATATGGAAACACTTTTTAACCTTATTTTATTATATATATATATTTTTTTTTATCATGACTGAGGACATAATATAACTCCAATAAAAATATTAAACATAAATTTAATATTGTACACCAAATTTTGGTGTAGTTATCATAAGGTATAGGCGTATAGCTAATATATTTTATTAATTAAGATGATAATTAGCTTATTCAAATTATTCAAACTTATAAGTTATAACTTATGACCATTTTCCTTGTACATTTTTTAGTATTAAAATAAAACAAACATTATAATTAAATCACTGTCAGCCTGGCATAATTATTAGGACTACATGATTTCTATACTTATTATGTCGCCTTATATATTATTATGCTATAAATGGGCAATATACAGGATGGTTTTTAGATGCAAGACCATCATATTTTATGTTTTTACTTTTGGAATGTTAATATTTACATTTTTAATTTCATAATATGAAGCAGAGTATTTTTGGAGTATTTTGATAAATAAAAGTCAAGTTTAAAACAATTAGTTGATTAATTATAACTTAAAAGTAGAGCTTACATTCCTATGCACTAAACAATCTTAATAATAAGATGCAATAAAAACCGTAAAATATGCAAAAAAAAAATTGAAATTTATGTAATATTAAGAAAAACATTTATGTAGTTTATTACTTCAATAAGGATAAATATTAAATGCAAAAAAAATTATTGTCATTAGCTTAAAACTATTAAATGTCATCTGACGAAGAGGTTGCCATTTGTATTTGGTACTCTCTACACAATTTAGAACAACGGGGAAAAAAAGTTATGGGTACACCCATTAAACCAAAAACATATCTCTCACAACGTAATTGTATCATTAATATGTGAATTACGATCTGATGAAAAAAAATGTAAAAATTATATATGTGTTAGTATTTCAACTTTTGATTATATCATACAGCAAATAGGAGAGAAAATTAGAAAAGACACTAATTTCAGAAGAAGTATTTCTCCAGAGGAAAGGCTTTTAATTACACTAAGGTAAGATTTGATAAGATTAATATTTTAGTATGATATTTGACTGTATTTAGTTGTACATTTTTATTAAATTTTATGCAAATAGATAAAAAGATATAGTATGATATTATTTTATATAAATTGTGTTCTCGTTAACTTAATCATATGAACTGCTACTATCTGTCATAGGTGGTGCAACATCAGACTCAAAAACATTGTAGAAGTTATTCATATTTTTCCCTCCATCTTGTCCTACATGCAAAGAATATAGCTGTTGTCCATTTTGAAATGAAGTCATTTGTGCTTGTGTATTTTGTTCTTGATCATCAATAAAATCGTTTAAAGTTGATAATACAACTTGTTTAAATCGACGTTGATTTTTATCGTTAAGTTTTTTGTAATCGGGAATTAAACTTTTGAAAAATAACAGTTCTGATGAATCTTCAGTGCTAACTTGCTTTGTCCTTGACTTTAAAAATTCTATCATTGACTCAGCTACTTGTTCACTTGCTGTTTTAAACTGAGTTTTAGGTTTTTTCGGTCTTTTTAATACTGTTTCATTTAGTTGTTGTTCACAATCTGATACTGTACCATCATCAAACGAGTATTCCTTAGATTCACTGCATTCATCAGACTCGTTACAATTATCACTTACGTTGCTAGTCATTTGTTTATGTTGTAACATAAAATTTGACAAAAAACTCATGCTTTCAAAGAGATACCATTTCCTTTTCTTTGATGCAGCTGATCCAGATTTTTTATTTTTTATTTCACGTAACTCTCTTGCGTATGAATTCCTAAGAGAAGTCCATTTAGTTTTGCACACTGATACTGGAAAAGAAAAAGAATTATTAATACTAGGTATTTAATGTTTTGAACACATCCAATGCCATAGTTATACGTATTAATAATTATGAATTTATGTCGTTTGTTCAAACTTCAAACCAAGTGTCGATAACTACAATTAAACCGATTCAGAACTATTATAAACAATCATGATTCATGATTATTAATCACCCATAAATGTCAGTTAACGATACATTTTTGAATTTGTAAAATGTTAAGTGCATTCTTTGAGATTTCAATTGCATTTTTTAAGGATTTTAACGGCATTAATAATTCATTTAATTAATAAACTAAAAACTAAGGTAATCTTTGAAATTGTTTAAGAAGGTACCTGCGTAGCCCAGAGGGGTATAAAGCTGAATAGCCCTCGTACCCTCAATTGTTTTCTTATAATATATAAATAATATCTTTAATAACATATATAATAATCAGGGAGTAAAAACGGTTTTGAAAACCAAGTAACCCGAAAAAAATTTAAACAGTTTTCAGACCCGAAACCCGAAATTTCTGGACACGTTTTTACTCCCTGCTAATAATATTTATTAAACGATTATGTATTGATATGTACTATTATATAATATGCCTATCGACTATTATACATTAATAGTAATAAAAACAACGAGTTAATATAATATATATATATTTTTTAATGTAGGTAATAAACATTTATATATTTAATTTTTTTAGTTTTCTGGCTTCTGGGGAACGTTTCCAACGCCTACACTAACCTTCGAATAGGAGCTACTACTGTAGGTAAAATTGTGAAAGATACATGTTTAGCAGTATGGACAATTTTATCACCACAGTATATATGCTTTACCGTCCACCGAAGGTTGGTTAAAAATTGCATGCGAATTTGAAAAATCTTGGAACTTCCCAATAACTGCCTTGGAGCTATAGACGGTAAACGTATAGCAATTCAATGTCCGCCAAATTCAGGATCTGCGTACTTTAATTACAAAGGGCACCACACCATCGTTTTACAGGCAGTCGTCAACGCTAACGCCAAGTTAATAATTATTGATGTCGGTGATTATGGTCGAAATAGCGACGGAGGCATTTTAAAAGAATCCAATTTTGGAAAACTACTTGATAAAAAAAAATTAAATTTGCCAGCTGCTACACCAAGAAAAATACACGAAGAATTAGAGGAAACATTTCCTTTTGTTTTTGTTGCAGATGAGGCATATCGCTTTAAAAAGTAATTTGATGAGGCCATTTGCACGAAGACAGCTTAATAATATAAAGAGAATTTATAACTATCGCCAATCTCGCGCAAGGATGAGAATCGTTGAATGTGCTTTCGGTATTCTTACAAAAAGATTCAATTTTGTTGAAAATAAAATGTTGGTTCATCCCGATAAAGCTGCTGTTATAACGCAGGCTGCATGTGTTCTCCATAATATAATCATGGATAAAGAAAGAAATTTGACCGATATTCATAATGAAATTGAAACAACTACTTTGCAATTATACCAGGAAGATAGTGACCTAAACACAAATCGTAGACCATCACGAGAAGCTATCGAGATTCGTGAAAAATTCATGACATATTATTTTAATTCAGAAATAGGATATTCTGTTCCTTGGCAAGACACTTATATTATTTAAAATAAGTTAATATTTAATTATTTATTAATTATATTGCTAAATAATAAGTACATTTATTAATGTCATGCACAATAATTTTCACTTAAATAATAATAATAATAATAATACCGAAAAAAATTTTTTATTATTTTAATACATATAGGTATATCATATTGTGTTATTATGTTACAATATAATAGGTAGTTAAAAAGAGTAAAATAAAGAAATATTTAAACATACCATTGACATTCATTTCTTCGCTGATTTCTTCCCATAGTTTGTCTTGTATTGCCCTATTACTATGGTCTTTGTCTTTATAATCGTATATTGATGGCCTTTTTTCTATTAAACTTATTAAAATTTTACCATCACATGCCATTGTAAAATTCCAAAAATATAATATAAACACGATATGATAATATATTAATATATAAAAATATTCGTTGTTTAATTATGACTAATTATGACTATCGAAAAATGCAGACACTTCCAGACAGTATCAGTCATGACTAATTGTGATTTAAAGCAAAAATGTTTTGTTTTGACTATGTCTTCTCAATGTGCGTATGCAACGTAATTTCCTATGTTCTATTTTTAACAAAACTGTGTTAGGCAGTGTTAGTCGTCTAACACAGGTTTGCTCTTTTGGTGTGCGATCGGCCCAAGCCTAATTATGGAACAGTTAAAATATAATTTTAAGGATTATTTATTTATTTAAAAGATTGATTCAAATAATCAAATACCATTCATTATGACATTATTATAAAAATATATTTTTAGTACTTATTCAAAATACATCACTATTATTTACTTATAATTATATGTGAGCTAATGGCCATAGTTGCCGAAGCTTAAGATAAATAAAAAAAAAAAAAAATTATATGTAATGTATATAAATATATGTATTTATGCGTTTTTTTATTCAAATTATTAATTATAGTCCAGTGATATTAGACGAAAAAATGGGTCCAGCTCGGACAAATTCCCACCTAGCTAAATTTTGGTACACACCTTTATGACATCGTTGTAAACAACGTGTGAAAAGTCGCCATCTGTATCATGTACGCGTCAAAGGTTATTAGAGGTCAAAGGTCACGAAATTGGCCTTTTTTTAATATCTTGCTTTTTATGAGTCGTACAATAAAAAGTTCAAGTTATAAATTGTAGAGGAAGTAATTATCTACAAAAAAGGTCTTATGACATTTTCAAGCCAACCATGACGAATGACCTATAATGCGTATTATCCCTCCATTGTGCTTATTGTAATTATTTTGATACAGATTGTACAAATAAAACAAATATGACAAAAAAAAAAAAAAATAAGGCTATCAAAATGTACGCTTTTAATGAACCTAACCTTATAGAAATAGCAATCGAAGAAGCATACCTTAAGAAAACTAGGTATTATTATTAGTCTGTTATACCTACTAATAGCACGTACTCCGTCGCAATAATTTTTTTTTTCTAAAACCAGGTAAAGGAAAAGTTGACACAAAAATATACTCATCGCATAGCATAGCGTGGATCACTACAATTTTGGTAAAGAACATATTTTATTTTTGCACGCAGTCACAGGATGTGATACGAAGTCTTCATTTTTTAATAAAGGAAAGGTAAGAGTTATAAAACTATAAGAAAATCGTCCAGACCTTCAAAGTACAACAGCAGTGTTCCCAAAAGAAAATTACTCCATTGAAAACATTTTCAAACATGGAATTTAATTTATTTTAGCAATATGTATGATGCCCAAAAACAAGTGGTCCCCATCGATAATTACAGATACATAACTTTTGGTAAACTGACCAGAAATAATAAACCAGTGAAATTATCATCTGCGCCACCCAAGTACCCAACAGCATCTGTTTCGAGTTTATTATCAAGTAGGTACAAATTTGGTTGGGCAACCAATTGAACCCGGGACATTGGGGGTGGGCAATGAATAATAATGTTTTGGAGCCTATAACGACATTGTCACCACCCGAACCTGATGAATTGGTTAATTTGATTTTTTGTAACTGTAAAAAAGGCTATGGTACTAACTGCAGTTGCAAAAAAATTGGTATCAAATGTTCGATAATCGATTATTTGTGGACATTGTCAAGAGCAACTCAAAAATTATAACTTTTACGTGAAAATGTCATAAGACCTTTTTTGTAGATAATTACTTCCTCTACAATTTATAACTAGAACTTTTTATTGTACGACGTATAAAAAAAGTCCAATTTTGTGACCTTTGACCTCGAATAACCTTTAACGCGCACATGATACAGATGGCGACTTTTCACACATTGTTTACAACAATGTCATAAAGGTGTGTAGTGTGTACCAAAATTCAGCTAGGTGGGAATTTTTCCGAGCTGAAAACCTAATATCACTGGACTATTATAATAATGATATTTTAAAAGGGTGGATAACAAAACTTAGTTAATTATGATAAATTAAAATAAAACTATATTACTGGCATTCAACATTGTTTTTCTCAAACTATAAACTATTCATAGTTTTGCTTTATACTCTGAGAAAAGACTAAGCAATTTAAATGGATGGTTCCTAATTTCTATTAAGTATTAACAATTTTCCTAGTTAAATATTCATCCAATTAATAAATAAGGGTACTTGAAACTTTTAGTTTTTGATCTAACCAAAAAAAAATTTTACACTTTTTACAAAATAAAAAAAAAACAGTATATTAACGTAATATTACATTTAATTGTTAATTAATTACCATTCATAATTATGGAAATAATGATAAATGAAAAAAAAACAATGTCATAATTTGATTGTTAGTTCTTATATTATTTATGAACAAATATGTACTAAAGCAATCAAAAATGTATATTGAGCAAAGTTTTTTTTACTCCGTCTGTACTTGTCCAAACAATATCCGAATTCATTTTAGAAGATTTTAAACAATTTAAAAATTCAGTAATTGAACCACCAACACCAAAATAATAATTTTTGGCAATTAATAAAATACTTCCAGATGGTTTTAATTTATTTTCAAATAATTTGATAAGCTTCGTATAGTTGTTTACATTGTATATAGTTTCTGATGTCAAAATGAGATCATAGGTATCTTCATTAAATGTAGTAAATGATTTCCAATCACCTGAATAGTACTTGCAAACTTTTAACCTGTCTTTACAATTTACTAATACATTATTCATAGTTGTATTGGTTAATACATCTTTATTAAAATCTTGAAAGTCGACATTCCGAGCTCCAGAAATCAGTGTAAAAATTCCTAAAAGGCCCGTACCACAGCCTAAATCTAAGACTGATTTTTCTTTACAGTACATGGTGTTATTGCTTAGATATTCTAAGAGATCAAGAGTACATTCCCAAAGTTTAAATCCTCCTTCATAAGTGCCAGGAATGAGATCCGAATTGTATGTATTAGGAAATTCTTGAATTAGTTTTAATGACTTATCTCCAATGATCAATTCTGTGAATGGCAAAGTGGCTAATGGATAAGAATTAGTTAATTCTTCTGTTTTGACCACATGGTCATCATTTTCTTTAGATTCAGAAGCATCAAACTCATCTGCATTAAAATTGAACTTGAACATTTTGAAACACAATTTTATCTGAAAAAAATGAATAAATTAAAATATTATAATATTAATATTAAAATAATTTGTTACAATATTTTTAATTCCATTTTAATTGTAGATTATAAAGACTTATAATATGAAAAATAAAACAAATTATTATTAATTTTAATTTTCCTAAGGTGAACCAAAATGTTTGTAAAAACTATTTGTATAAAGAAATAGGAATACAGAATCACATAACTTCATAAATTGACATAGGTACTTAAAAAAATTATTTGATCACAAGTTGATTTGTTCTAATTCCAATGAAATATATATTTTTTCTAATTAAGTATGATTTATAGAATTTGATTTATCATAAAGAAGAAACAGATGATTAATATAAATACACCAAGAACTACAATTAAACCATGTGTAAAATAAAGCTTAGCAATTAAAAACATTTTTCAGTTTCATAAATTATTTTATATTTTTCACATTTGATAATAATTATGTTATTTTCCAAATAGGTCACATTTAAAAAAATTAAATGATCGATATTCACTAAAATTTGTTAAATTTATCATTATTTTATTCACCATGCAACTTCCATGCAAGTAAATAAATCCTAATGGTAAAAAAAATTAGATAATGTACATTATATTAATTTTGATATTTTGTACCCATGGTATATAAGCGCACACACAGGGATCTACAAATTCCATAATATTTGTTTTTATTTATTGTGTACTAGATAGTAAAATATTGTACTACATTTAATAGTTTTTTTTTTATTTACAGTCTATACAATACAATTAAATTCAATTCAAGATTATTAACAGGAGGTAGTGTTTATGGGCAGGCACTCAACAATACCACTCGACCAGGTACTTTTTAGATATAACCTATTGTTTTTTTTGATTAGGTCTCTAGGCTACTGTCTTTTGAGTCTTATACGTACATATCTGGGGATTGAGTTGGATGATGGTTGATTGATTAATGGGTTACTGTGAGAATTTAATTTAGTATGAAGTTTAAAGTTATATAATTTTGCTAATTGATTAAGGGTAGGAATTTACATTTAATAGTTAAGAAAAAAATATATTGTAATATTGTTCCCTAAAAACCATGATGATTAAACTTATATCTCTGTAAGCCACATATATAACATAGGTACTAAAATAAAAATGTATTCATCTTTAAAAATTAAAGTAATACAATTTAGCATGATGTTACTAACCCGCTTAAAGTTATAAAGCTCTTTTTACATTATACAAAAAAAATTATTATTCAATGAAAGATAAAAAAATAATTCTCATATTCGAGTACCAGTAACTCAATACTATTAAGTAAATATAATAGTGCGCAGTTTATATTTTAATTTTAAAATGGATAAATTATAATTTAAATTTAATATTTCTAGTTGACATACTTGGTACTTGGTTTGTTTATTTGTTATAAAGTTAAATTTAAAAGATAAATTAAATATTTTTCTATAAACTTTCACTTTCAATTTTTAATGATAATTATATTAAAGATAACCACAGCTTGTTTATGTATCTGTGAAGATAACACAAGTTTTTTATTTTGCTTATCAGTCTTTACAGTGGTGCCATTTAAAAATATTTTGTTTTTTAACCCTTTACTCGAATGTTTATTTACTTACTTAAAACAACTTACTTAGGTACTTACTAAATCACTTCTTCGTCATCTTTAATCCTTATAAATTATAAGTATAAAATATTGAAATGACAATAGTTTTAGCGTTTTCAAAAATTAATCAACATTTTTTTTTTTAATTTTCTGTTAAAAATAAAATATAAATGTCATAAATACATGGCGGTTATTAATAAAAATTACAGAAATATATTGATAGAAGTGATAAAATATCAATTGTAAGGGAACTAGGCATAGGCGAAACTAGGGTTAAAATTCTGGGGAAGGCTTCGACCCACCTAACAAAACTAATAATTTAAAAATCCCATATGCGGCTAAGTCTATATTAATAATGAATATTTTTTGGGGGGCTAAATTGCAGTCAGGGGTGGCTTTATCCCCCCCCCCCCCCCCCCCCCCCCACATCCTAGTTGCACCACTGGTACTAGGGTAGTATTTATTATCAATGATATTATATACTTTTAAGTTTTAACCACAGATTATACTCTATGCTTTTAACTATATTATATCTTAGCCTGTAATTATTATTAACTTGTGAGTTTTGTTTATAAACAATGACTAAAAAAGAAATTCAAAGACATGATCATGAAAAACTTGATGAAGATCAATTATCCTTGGGTTCAACATAGTCTGTGCAACAAGGAAAACTAGTACCTGCATTTCTCATGAAAGACAACAATAATTTTACTATAACACACAATATTAAAATAATGAAATTTATATATCTACGATCTACTCCCTCAATCATTCATTGTAAATAGTATAGTAATTGTGTAAATACCTCAAAAAGCTGACATCCTTTTCTACATATAGTTTTATAATTCTGTAAAAATTAAAACAATTGTTCAGAATATTTACCAAAATTATTTATTTATTTATTATGTTTTAATACTTTATCTTTTATAAAATATTAATTCAATAATTTATAAAAATCAGTTAAACAACAATGACCGATTTTACACTATAATTTGTACTTACAAATTATTTTTACAGCATCTTAAATATCTGGAAAATTTAATATTGATAAATTGAGTTTAAATGTTTAAATACATTATAGTTTGTAACACAAAATTTTTTATGAATAGGTATAACAACCATACTACACAACATATTTTTGCTTTTTTGCAATAAATTTTAATAATTCACACCATTAAAAATTAAAAGCATCAGTAAGGTGTTCTGAAGTTAAATTGGTTGACTTTATAGCATTATTATTTGACACTATAATTATTAAGAAAAAGTTTTTTATGCAAAACATAAAGTAGAATATGTATAAAGTTAATAGTCAAACATTTTAAAAATATGCAAGGAAAATGCATATACAATGTTTTAATTTGATTTTTATTAAATAATTAAAATGGAATTAAAAGTAAATTATAAACTTTATATTGTATAAAATATTCAGAACAGTATAAATTATATCTGGCCTATTACTCAAAACACAAAAATGTATACACATTTATTTAAAAATAACATTTTAATTTTCATAAATAGTTATAAAAAAAAGTAAAATATTTTGAATATCTTATCTTGCACGGAAAATTATCATATAAACATTTGGTGAAACTATCTAGTATTAAGGTTGTTTGTTTTTGATTTACTAAAAAAAAAAAAACAAAATTTGTCTATAACTGTTATTGTGTAAATATTCCAGTTTTTTCTTAATTTTTCTTTTATCCACTAGCCAGTAGGGAATACTTAATAAATTGGTATATTTTTTGTGGGCTAGTAACCAACTGAAATTGAAATTTATAATCCCACTCACCCCTTCAACTTATAATCGACATCACTATAACAATTATTTTCAAATCAATTGGCCATTATGTACAGTTATTCAGTTTTTCATAAAATTATGCTACTGAAAAATGTATAAATAAATTTATGAGGGGTATTTTGACCACCCTTTCCCCCTAGCTAGGTTTGCCATTGGATTTAAAAACAGTGTTTCATATTGTTTAATTGATTTAGTCTATAATATTATACATTCATACGATCATTTGTACGTTTTTGAACATAACTGCTGAATTGTTTCAATTAAACTAAATTCTGTCTACTAAACACAAACAATGCCATTATTATTCCAATAATAGAAAGTAAGATATTATCAAAAAATTAATTAGTTTAGTTAAATTCTGTTAAAAAAAAAGTTAATAATTTATTACCTATATTTTATATTATAATATAAATCGATAAAATATGTTATGAATTGGATATTTAAGAGATTAATTAATAGAAAAAACACAGTCAAAATAATACTGAATAATATATTACATTATATATATATTTGTAATTCGAGAAAAACGATGAGAAATCAATATCACTTAAATAAAATCCTAAAATTATAGGTTAATCATTAATGATCACGCTAAGAAAAAAATTGTATATATTATGATATATTCATGCAAAAATAACACAAGGTTAACATATAAGATTATAAACATATAAAGATTTAAGTATTAATATAAAAATTGAAATGTGAATTAACTTATTAACATTATTTGTATATACATAGCCCCAATTTCTTACTTTATTTGTATATATTTTGCGGGAATATATTTGATTTACTTATTAATCATCGACCGTTTTTCGTTTTATTATTTACTAGCAATGGGCTCATGAACTTATCAAAATCTCAAACACCCTGAACTTCGAGAAATTTAAAGTTTATTGGAAATTAATAACTTTGAACTTGAGCAGTAATTGATACTATTATAAAATATATAATATGTAAGAAGAACATTAATAATGAATATTATAACATTTATAACTTTCTATCAGTCACAATAGGTTTATTTGTGTTTAAAATTAAAATGGATAAATAAATTAAATTTAAGTGTGAGTGTGAGTGAAAAATGGATTCAAGTTTGAGAAAAAAACAAAGTTAGAATTTGAATTTGTGATAATTGAAGTTTGTGTCATTCCTATGAATTATTATACAAAATTATTACTTATTAGTTCAAGTTTTAGTTAGTATAAAGCTGATTGTATGGTTGTTCATTCTGTATGAATTTATCATAAATAATATTAACTTGAATATTCGATTATAATATGATTGCCACATCCCTTAAGTTTATATTTTTTTTATAAAGCTTCTGATATTATACATTAATGGGATAACTAAATCAAAATAATTTGTATATATTTGTAGCATATTGTTATTTAACATATTGATAATTAATTTAATCACTAAACCTTTCAATGCACATAAATAAATAATACATTGTTACTAATAGACGGCAAAAAAAAATATATGTTTAATAAAAATATTATTTATTATTTATTATTACCTTTTAAGTATTTACAACTAATACCTTTTGTAAGCTTTAAAAGAAAATTCTAAAAACTAATAGCTGTGTTTTATTAGTTATCTGACTTTTGAATGTGATGATAATATACTTACTACTTTCTTTTAAAAATAAGGATATGATAATCTTATTTAAACTCCTTATTACATTAAAATCAGTATATTTTGTATACTGTAAATTGTTACTCATTTCCTAAAATTGTAAAATACGAAATCAGTTTGAGATCTTTAATACAATAGTTATTAATATATTTTTTTATTTGATACAAATCTGGAATTCAGGTTAAAAAAAATTATAAATATTGTACAGTTTTTCAATTTTTACACTATTTTTTATTTTTTTAACGAAAGACAGGAATAAACTTAGAGTTTGCATAATGAAAACTTATTTGATAAGTGTAGTAATGTGTATATTTGACACACAAAAAATAGATTAAAATACTATGCATAATTATGTTTAAATAATTAACACTGTTATTATAAGTTAAAAAAAAATGTTCATTACAAGTAACTATACTCAATAAATTATTACACACTATGATATTGCCTAAATTAGTTAGACATATGCTGAACGATCAAACACAAACAAACACAAATCATTAAGATGGTAGTTGGACTACAATATGAAATTTTTTATTCAAACTCAATTAGCTAAATGATCCATTACTCCTAATTCTAAGTAAGATAAAAAACACTATCATAAACTCATATCAATCAAAAAAAAAAAAAAAAATTAAAATAAAGTAATTTATATATTTATAATTAATTGTTAATACTATCTATATTCTAATGTAATTTGTGGATGTCATATAAACCTATTTCTTTATTATTTAAACCTAACTTACAACATACTCTTTAATTTGGAAAATTTGCTTACAGTTCTGAATAATACTGACTTTTAATCTTTACTACTTTTTAAGAATAATTATCACTCACACAAAAATGTTGTAATCAAGACACATATGATAGAAAAAAAATTACACACAAATCTTTAAGCCTAAGTTTCCTTTCTGTTTTGTCAATATAAACTGAGGAATAAAGTTTTAAAAAAAGATTCCTGATGACCTGCACAAGTTTAAATTTCTGCGGGTTGGAATTCTCCTGACCCAAACCCCTTACGTAACATTTTGGGTCAGCTCATACTTTTTTTAACCTGTGCACAAATAAAACAAATATTCTACTTTAAACCTGTTTAATAAATACATGTTTATAGATCTAGTCACGACTTAGAGCCAATTGTACAACATTTCAACAGAATAATTTAACTGACAATTTTTAGATTGTACAAAATACAAATTTAAATTTATAAATATACAACTATACAATTAATTAAGTAATACATTATTACAAATATAAATTGGTTGAACTGATAATTTAAACCAATGACTACAATTTGTAATAAATAACAAATAACTAAATAAGTATTTTAAATAGTAGTTACTAAAAATTATTAATTGCTTATTAGGGTTTTAAAATTTAAAAATATAATTTAGATTTAAGGTAGTACTAAATAATAAAAGGTTGTACATGTGAATAAGTTTGTACACACTTATAAATATAAAATGAGTTAAAACTTTTTATTTTTGCTACAGTTATATGATATTTGGTTTATTGTTTAATGTATATGTTTAAACTAAAATAAATGTTAATATACTTCAGAAGTGTCTTTTTAAAATAACTCTTTAATTTATAAACAATATAATGTTAATAAAATATAATATAGGTAAATAAAGTATTTATTGTAATTAGTGGTTTTCTAAATTCTATGTAATAATGGCTCTAAGCGTAAAATCAAAATGGGTATATTTAAGTTTTATAATACAATTATTTATGTTAATAACAGATAAAGGTTAAAAAGAAATTTAATTTACCTTAGGTAGTTAGTATCTTCCTCTTCCACCTCGTCCAAAAGCACCTCTACCACCACGACTTGGGTTTCCAGGACCTCTTCCAGATATTCCTCTTATAGGGCCACCTCCTCTTCCACGAACACCTCCTCTTCCTCTTCCACCAAAACTACTTCCTTCACCACTGGCAAAATTACTGCCACTAAATCCACTACTAAAATCATTGTAACCGCTATCAAAACCACCTAAGAAATAACATAAAATAAAATTAGTATAATAGTAAATAGTAATTACAATTATGTATTACTATTGTAAGGTCCGGGTCTTGCAGCTCCACCTCCTCTCAAAGGACCATTACTTCCTCTTATAGGTCCGGCACCAAAACTTTGTTGATAGCCATCGCTGAAATTATTATCCCAAGCACTACTTGATGGACCTCCCCAATTACCTCCTCTAGAACTAGGGCCTGACTCCCATGGGTCAGGGTCATTACCACCTGAAATGTTAAACAATTTATATGGAATAAATATGTATTTATTATTTACAAGCAATATATTATAAATAAATTTAATAATTTTTACTTCTCCATCCTCCACCTCTTCCAAAATTTCTCATTGTTGGTTCCCAGGCACTTCGATTATCACTACCCCAATTATCGGCAGAATTACTGTTATTTCTAGCATTTACTCTAGCCATTTCTTCTTTACTCAATGCTTTTTTTACATCAATTTTTTTCCCTTTTATTATATGTGATCCTTTTACTGTTAAATAAAATTATATGGTAAAATTAATTAAAAAAATATTTGAATGAAATATGACGTATACTTGAAACTTACAACATATTTTATCAACTGGATCATAATCATCAAATTCAACAAAACCAAATCCTCTTTTTTTGCCCGTTTCTTTATGAACAACTAGGGCAGCAGAAGTAACATTACCATATGGAGAAAAATATTCTTTTAAGTCTTCTTCGGTTATGCTGTCATTTAACAGACCTACAAACAATTTTTTAACCGTTGCCCCTGCTTCAGGTTTTCCAATATCCTATTAATATATATATTTAATTAATTATTTTAATCACAATTAAGTTATATTGTATTACAGTTTTTGGAACAGCTCTCTTAGGTTCTACTGTCCGACCATCTATTTTGTGAGGACGTGCACCTTGTGCATCATCAACCATATGAGCTGCAGCATAAGTAATGAAGCCAAATCCTCTTGATCGTTTAGTCTGTGGATCTTTCATAACAACAACATCCATGATTTCACCCCATTGTTCAAAATATTTTTTGAGATTTTCATCTGTAGTTTTATAGTCTAATCCACCGACAAATAATTTACGTAAATGTTCAGGCTCCCTCTAAAACAAAAAAGTAAATGGCTTATCTATATTATTTTATATAAAAATATATGTTTGTCTGTCTGTCTTTGTGTCCTTAATGTATTCCTAAACGGCTGGACTGATTTTGATGACATTTTTTGTGTGAGTTTAAGTGGTTCCCGGATGATTTAGATTCACAATTGGACCCAGTAGGTCCAACCAAGGGAGGTGTTCAAATGGGGATGTTGAGATTTATGGTGGAAATTGTTGTTTATAAATGGTTGCTATTGGTTATAGGATAAATGATTAGTAGAAATTATAGTACAATTTATTATTTTATTAGTTTTCATTGGTTAATTCAGCAGATCAAGAGCAAGCATGCATTAAATCAAATTTTTCCACATTGTCCGCGATCCGACATAGTTGGATTGATTACCAGGGAGGCTAAGTTGAATCCAAAAACAGTTAAACATTCACAATTTTTTTAAAGTTGTAATTTTTTTACGTGCAACAAAGTGTGCGGAATAAGTATGTATTAAATAGAATACATTAAATTTGTATTTGAAGAAAGTAAACGTATTTTTAAACATTGATTGAAGGGTTAACAATCAATGGTAAACTATACATACATATGTACTTAGTTTTGAATGTATTAAACATTTTAACAGTAGGTACATAGTAAAATTGAAAACTTCTTTAGATAATTCAATGTTTTTATGTTTTAAAAAATATGTATGGTTACAGTTTAGTAATGTTGTTATAAACAATACTTCCTACTAATTGTAAAATTAGAAATTAAATATAATGTTGGAAAAATGCTTGAGATACTTATACTATACATAATATTTGGAGATGATCAAAATCCAAAAGTATTGCGAACTATACTAAAGAGTATTGCCATTATGTAGGTAATAAACAGGTAACAAAAGTTATGACATACCTAAACATCAAGAATTATTATTAGGAAGAAAATTTAGGAAAATTATGTTACAGCAGAATACTACGAAAATCGTGCAGAATGTGTTACATAGGTAATAACAAAATATAATCAAAGAAATCAGGTCAATTTGTTGTTTGTACAGTTATTTTATTGTACATAAACTTGGCACTTGGCAGAGAATTTGGGTCAGAGAAAAATAATATTTGGTCTTAACTGATTTCTTTAATTAATCATATTAGTATGATAACAGAAATCAGATAATAATAGAAATAAAAAATAAATTATACATAAATCTATAACGATAGTATATTAATATATTTTGAATTATTGTGTTGTTAATTGTTATGATATCTAAGTTTATAGATATTATTAACTACCTAATTAGTAGAAAAGCGTGGCAATAATTAATTTTAAATTAGTAAAAGCAAATAATTATATAATCAATAAGTACTTTACGATACTTAAATTTCTTTTCAATGCATAATAATTATTGATGTTTATTAAGTAGGTACCTTTACGATTTATTTAAAAAAATTTTATGTATTTTTTTTTTATTAATTGTAGTGGGTAGTTAATTAAGCTTTGAATATATTTGAATGCAAATTACAAATTGTCTAAATTAATTGTTAGAAACTACCTATCACAGAAATAAACTGCCATAATTCAATATCATTCATCATTACTGTATAATGTATATAAACAGTAATATTATCCAGAATTTATTTCCTAACAATATCACAATACAAATTTAGAAAATCAAGTTCGATCCAAGATCGATTGGTTATTCCTTATTCATTCTAATAAATTACAGTTGTAACCCATTTTTAAACATTAAAGATACTAAATAAAATTAATTTTCATTAAATTATCAATTTATAATGTGTTCTCCCTTCCAAATAGAGAACAAAACAATTATAAGTAAAACTTTGTGTACAATATACACTTTACAATATTCAACACAATTGTCATGCATCAAGAAATTAAAAGTGTTAAGTAATTAATTAATTTAAATTTGTATAATATTACCATGTTTTCGAGTCGTACAAATTATCTAATGTGGATGCGAACAGATATCGTTTGGTTAAATGTTTTGGTAGTAAACGTCAAATGAAATAAAGAATTCGATATGACTAGTCGACTTGTGTTAAAATAAAAAAAAATAAAACAATACGAAAATAAAGACAGATGTGTTTCAAGACTTCAAAAGTTCAAAACGAGAAGAATTCTACTTCTACGATCCGCTTAAAGATTATAATTATCGAATAAAATAATGAAATCACAGAAGCGTCAGGCACTCGGGCAAGAATGAACTACGAAACTTTGAAACGTAAACACTAAAACACTAATAGAGTCTACGAAAAAATAAAAAATAAACACAGAGTTGGCGAGGAGTTATCCATTATCCAACGCCTTGTATGTGGTGGCAGCGATCAGTGTAGTCACTACTCGCGGTAAACTTCAGCACGGCGACACTGTGATCGGACCAATACGGTTTGAAGAAAGCGCGCAACTTTCGATTAAACATCGGCGTAAACCAAGATACTATCCTAAATCGTGGCATCAACTATAACAATTTATTTCTTATAAAATAATGGACATATTAATACAACAGTCGCAGGGATCGAAACCGGTTTTACCGGTTAAAACCGCTGTTTTTTCATATTTCAACACCGTAACCGAAACCGAAACCAAAAGCTTTAAAACCCCGGTTAATAATCCGTAACTGAAACATAAAATCTTAAAAAACCGTTTAGAAAACCTAAACCGAAACCATCAATATTGAAAAACCGTTCTTGAAACCGATTGAAATTTAAAACTCATATTGGTTTCTTTGAATTTTATAAAGTTAATTGCCTTACCCATATTATTTATAATTAGTACGAGTATTTTTATGCGAAGAAAATATTTCGTTTGAATACCGATGATATAACTGATTATTACGAAATATTTATAGGTTATACTACCTTTTTGCAGAAGCAAGAGGATAGAATGGGCTGGACATGTTTGGAGGGCAGAAGGAAAAATTGTAAAAAAAAGACCTGTAGGAAGACCCCGAACAAGATGGAAGGATGTAGTAGGTAAAGATTTTAAAATGATTTATAAAAACGTAAAAATGGAAGATGCAAATGATAGGATCAGATGGAATGAGATAATGGTGGCAGCGATGGACCGCTAAGCTGTTGTGAAGGAGAAGATTTTAAATTCATATTTTTAACATTTTTAACAAAGTGTCTTCACTGGAAGGCTTCTTAAATCCGTCCTTTCCTCAAGCCACTTATTCATTCAATTATCTATTTTACTTATTGTTCATATTTTTATTGTAACAGATTGTAAATAAAAATTATAAAAATAAAAAAAATAAAAAATGTTTTTACAAAATTTGTTATTCGCTCGTTTTCTCATGTAATGATTTTCTTATTTTGTGTTCTTCAAAAACGAATAACTGTAGATACATGAAAATTTCACATGTTTATATTAACAATTCTTATACTTGATAACATTTTCAAAATATTTTGACTTGTTTTGAGCTGGTTACGGACAATTTAATATTTCTATTTTTTTATTTTTTTATTCTATGAATATCAATAAAGTTTTATATGTTGGGCAAAAAGTGTAAAAATGTAATACAAGGCTCCTGATATATTGTTACAATAGCAATTGAAAAATATTAAAAATACACGTCATGCACAATTTTTTTTTATAATTATTTAAAGATCGAATTTTGACAAAATGTATCAAATTTAAAATTGAATAATTATTTTGAACTTAAACATTTTTAAAATGTTCAACTATTATATCTAAAGATTGAAAATTTAAAACAAGATTCCATGTAAGTAGTTAATTCTGTTACCAAAAAATCTAAAAAATACATAAGCACAGTTTATTTTTATAGTCATTTTAAGTTCAAATTTGGACGAAATTACATATTAAAAAACCTAGAATAACTATTTTAGTTATTTTGTTGTGATTGTATAATATTATTCTTGGGTACTTGAAACTTCTAAAGTATACGTATACTATTATATATCTATGGAGTATGGACTATGATAGTATCAGGGTTTGTTTTTGATGTATAACGCGTTATAAGTACAAAGTTCCTAATGGATATTGTAATATGATTAATTTAGGAATATTTTTAATTAGAAATTGTGCCTATGTATTTTTAATATTTTTCAACTGCTATTGTAACAATATAATAGGAGCCTGCTTGTATTAAATTTACATGAATTTTCACCCATTAAATAAAACTTTATTTACAATTATAAAAAAAAAATAAAATTTTGAAAACTGTCAATTTCCTTAAACAGCTCAAAAAGAGTCAATATATTTTCAAAATGTTATGGTGTATATAAAATGAAAATATAAACATTCAGTAAAATTTTCATGTTGTGTAGATACATACAGTTATTTGTTTTTGAATTACAACATCAAAACAAAATCGCTACATGAGAAATCAAATTAATATCCAAACTTGTTAAAATATATGAACTTCAAACACTTATAAAAATTTAATTTGATTTCCTTGTAGACATTTTTGTTTTGATAATGGTAGATAAACTTATGAGGAATCTTGTATTACATTTTAAAATCTTCAATTTAAATAGAAATATTTTTATGAATTTCTAACTCAAAATAATTTGCACATATTTTTCTTAAATTTTCGTATTTTGTAAATATTTGAACTTTAAATGCTTGAAAAAAAAAATATTTAAAATTGTGACTGAATTTTTAAGATTTTCCATCTGTCTTTGAAACAATATATTAGTAGACTTCTATTAAATTTTCAAGCTTTTTTACCCAACAAATAAAATTTTATTGATATTTGTAGAAAAAAAAAAACGAACAGCTAAAAATATGTCAAAATATTTTTAAAATATTATGGTGTATAGAAAATGCTATTATAAACATTCAGTCAAAATTTCATGTATCTACCGCGGTCATTTGTTTTAGAGTCACACCAATACCAAAATAGATTTTGAGTAAAAATTCCAGTTTTCCCTAAATTTTTATTTTGTTTTTCACGGAGCTTTGAAAACTACGGAAAAATATTTACTTTTGAACCCCCCAAAGTACCAACTAGATTTACTTTCCTATCAGAAAAAATACTGTTGAAGAAAATTTAAAGGGGCTGGAGCGTGATTAATTTTTGGTCGAAAACATAGCTCACGACTTCAATCACCAAGCACAATATAATTTTCTGATATTAATTTTGAAAGCAGATTTGAATTCGTCACTAAATTGTCTATGCTTTGACAATTTCATTTTTTTGTTTTTTTTTTACTTAGAAATGTATTAACAAAAAGAGTAAAAATAGATTATATTCATAATTCAAATTGAAATACATTGATATAGATTATGAAAAATGTACGACAGTCAAAGCATAGTAAATTTAGAGGAGAACTCAAATCTGCTTTCAAAATTTCAATCGGAACATCCTAGTGAGCGTAGTGATTGAAATCACTGACAGTATTTTTTGAAAAAATATGTTTCAATTTTATAAATTTATAAGTGGTGAAATGTGCATGCGCGTAGGTAAAATGTCAGACGTAATATTATGATGCCTCTATACGACGTGATCGGTACTACTTATTACACACACTTATGTTCATTTACTTTCAACACATTCACAAGACCCATTTAACTTGAAATTTAAAATGTCTAATTTTTACTACTTAGAATTGATTACGCTCCAGCTCCCTTAAGCACTTTTACTGTCCTAAAAGGTGATGACAGACACAACAATGTTTTTTTTTAAAACATCGTTATTGTAAAATTAATTCATTTTTCTAAAAAATAAAAATATATCAATTTGTTCGCTCCTTGTCTGTTTTCGTAGGAAATAATTTTTTTTTTTGAGTATTAGGTACCTACCTACTAAAGAAGAAAGATAATTTTGAAAAAAAAAAAAAATGTATTTGCTACTTTTTTTAATTTGGCCAACACTAAATAAGACGTGTGATAAGAGCCAGACAGTCACTTTTTAAAATATGGCGGATGGTACCTTCACGTCTTATCTCATAGTAAGATATAGATTTTTAGTAATATCTGTGACTCTATAATATTATTATGTATATGCACGGTCTAGTGGCAGTGACTCGTAAATAAATTGAATAATATTATCTATATCCAATATTAAAGTTAGTTTAGTCTTTAGTCACAGTTAGTTTGTTCACCAATTCTGTTCACCAAGTCGTTACTCGTTTAGTGTTTACCGTCTCGGCTACAGGCTATAATATGAAAAATAGTTTAAAGTACTTAAATAGTAAAGTAAAGCATCGGACAGTCACGGGTTCTGTCGACTTCTGTGATATCATAGTCATGAACTCATGACCACTAATATTATACATTTCTACAGTAATTGAGTGATAGTGTAATACAGTATTAGTATTAACATTCTACATTTTAGTATTTTACTATACATACTGTACACTACAAAACTAATGATTAATAGTATTTATATATTGTATTAATTAATTGTTCAAATTCAGAGATTTTTAAGAATTTTTTGAATTTATGGCCACATAAAATATTTTGAACTTCAATTTGTATGTAGTATTGAGTAGTTCAAATTCAATGTTTTGACTCAACTCCTGAAATGTTATAAGTAATAACATTGATTGCTAGTGCATAAGTCAATTATAAATATGTCTTCAGCAACAAAACGTCAAAACATTTTACAGTTGATAAGGAATCGAGAATTAAACGTAACATAACAACTAATATTTTATTATTCTATTCTGTCAGGTTAATTTAAAAACTATTATTGATGATTAGGATCACATCCGCACAAAGTATGCATTAAAAAGTAACTTGAATTACAAATGTATTTCAAAACTTGGATTACTCGCTCAATTAGAAGGACATCAAGGATGTGTTAATTGCCTACAATGGAATGAAAGTGGAAGGTATATGTATAATACATTATCGACAATTTTAATTTTATGAAAGTGAAGGTATAACTTTAAAAATAACTTGTTTATTAAGGCTTATATAATTTTTCAGCGTCTTAGCATCAGCATCTGATGACTATCAAGTAATACTATGGGATCCATTTTTACAAAAAGTTAAAACTACTATTAAAACTTTACACCGCGGCAACATATTTTCTGTTAAGGTATTTAAACACACTGCAGTATATTTTTAAGAAATCTATACTTACTTCATTCGCTGAAAGAATGTAGTTACTTTGCTTAAACGACTGGAGCCAAGGAGTGGGGTTTTGTGTGTATATGGCGGTCTTTGACTTGTTTTGGTTTGTGTACAACCATATTCTGTCAGTGAAAAAAGTAAATGTACTCAGTTAAGAGGACGTGATACCCGCATGTGTTGTCTTCATCTTACAAGTGCACAACATAGCAAATTTTACGCTCAGCAAAACATGTGTAGCTCCTTTGATTTATAAATTAGAGTAAATTGACCTCTAATAAAATCTAAAGGTAAGATTAATAATCTAAGATGTACAAACAATTTACAATTTTAAAATACTCATAGCTCGCTTTAAAATTTATATATAATAAAAAGCCCATGAGGTTGTCCTAGATAATAATCTTACCTTTAGATTTTATAAGAGGTCAATTCACTCTAATTTTTAAACTAATGAAGCTCTAGCATTTGGTATGTTACACACTTGTAAGATGGAGATAACACATGCAGGTATTACGTCCTCTTAATAAAAATGAAAAAGTATTTGAACAAAAACTATCTGTAATAGACATTATTATTTTGTTGTATTGTATTATATATATATATATATTTTTTTTTTATATATAGTTTATACCTAGTTGTAATGACGATATAGTTGCGACTGGAGCTGGTGATTGGAGTTCACATACATACAATGTAACAACAGGGAAACAATTAAGAAGTTGCGTTTGTTCTCAAGGACGAATCAAACGTCTAGCTGTAGCAAACGATGCACCTAATGTTTATTGGTGTGCTTCAGAAGATGGATGCATTAGGTATGATTCGTCTAGTGAATGAGTGATAATGGTTTTTTTAAATTTAGCTTCAATATAATCATGCTATGTTGACAATTAATTATTTGTTGATGTCCATACAGTCAACATGATATGAGAATGAGCCATGAATGTCCTACCGATAAATCTAAAAATACTTTGGTGACCGTATTTAGTAATTCGGGAAAAAGGATTGAAGTTAAATGCTTAGATATAAACCAACTTAGAACTGAGCAGCTTGCAGTTGGTGCTAATGACCAATATGTGAGATTGTATGACCGCAGAATGATTCAATCGCTGTCATCAGTAGATGTAAAATGTCCTTCATTCGTCTCGGAGTATGAAGCTAATAATGCAAATAAAGTTAACAATGCACTCCAATATTTTGTACCGGGTCACATCCATTCTAATGATGATAATGAAACAATAACTCCCAAAAGACTAAAAAATTATGTAATTACTTATTTGACTTTTAGTCCTGATGGACAAGAGTTGTTAGCTAATTATGGTGGTGAATATGTATATTTATATAACTTGGTGAATCGATCTGATAATGCATTTTTCAACATCTCTAAAGTTATGAAAGTTCCTCGTAAGTTTCTTAATACAATTATAAAGTTTATTTGTTACTTAATTATTTGTGTCATTTTAGGAGAAAATGGGGAGGGTACTTCTACAGATTTAATAGATGATCAAGTTCCTGTTCCTCATATGACACTACCAGATAAAGTAGTACAATTAAAATTAAAGGTTAGAAATATACATTGTAAATTGCATGTTATATATTTATACTTTTAAAACAGTATATAAACAAATGTTGTTATAATTTACAGGCAAATTATTTATTTGAAAAAGAAGACTATACTGCTGCTATTATCCTTTATAATGAAGCCATAAATATCCATAAATGCAGTGTACTGTTTTCAAATAGAGCTGCAGCCTATATTAAAAGAAAGTGGCATGGAGACTTTTACGCAGCTCTCAAAGATTGTGTGACTGCATTAAAATTGGAGCCTAACCATATGAAAGCACATTTTCGTTTGGCAGTATGCCTGTTCGAACTGGACAAGTTTAGAGATTCTAAAATGTATTTAGATCAGTTCACAATGAAATACCCATCATATAAAACTAGTGCCGCATACAAAAGTCTTTATAGTGATTTATTAAATGCGCAATCTAAAAATAAAGATAAATCTGATGGTAACTACCATAACAGTATTTTTGTATTCATCTGTTTAGTATTATATGTATAAACTTTTTATTGTTTTTCATTAATTGTTTATGTTCTCTATTTAGGAAAAAAATCGCGTGAAACGTCGGATACATCAAATTTTCTAGATGCGTTACAAATTCAACGAGCCCCGAAGATAGCTTTTGAGAAATACTTTTGTAATCAGGCAAAAGATTACCATCATAGATATTATGGTCATTGTAATACATCTACTGACATTAAAGAAGCTAACTTTTTTGGAAGGTGAAATTGTTATTGATAGTATATTATAATGAATTTTTGAATATTATATTCTTTCGTTATTTATAGCCAAAATCAATTCATAGTAGCTGGTTCAGATGATGGTTTATTTTTTATTTGGGAAAAAAATACAGAGAATAATTTGCTCATACTGAAAGGGGATACTTCAATCGTAAATTGTATACAACCACATCCTTCAGAGTTTTTGTTGGCAACTAGTGGTATTGATAATGAAGTCAAGTTATGGAGTCCATTGCCAGATGTAAAACTTTTAAAACATAAAAAAATTATGCTTAAAATTAAATTAAAACATTTAATACAATGTTCTAGGATGTGGATAATACATGTATCGTAAAAAGTTACAGTACAACAGCTACGTTAAACCAAAGACGTATGCTGGCTGATCCATTTGAAGTAATATTGCGTAATATGAGGAGAACTGCAGAAGGACTTGACCATGTTGACATTGACGCTATACGTGATGAATATGGAATTGATCCATTATCTGAAGAGTTTAATGATTGTCGAATGAGTTGATAGAAATATAATTTTTGTAATTTTTTTATTAATATTAAATATAAATAAATATTTTTTAATTGTATAAATTTCTTTTTATGTTTTTAAATTCTATGCCATTTTATCAACAAGGATTGTTTGTTTTGCAATGGCCAACTTTAATTCAATTTCATTTACGTCTGGTAAACTCATATCACCAATCTGAAATAAAATATGCATAATAAATTATGTTTAGGTAAACATAAAATAAAATAGTATAGTTTTAAACATATACAATTGTATAAGAAGTCATGTGGCAATCAATAATATCTTCAAAAGTGTATGTCTATATGTTTGTATACAAATACAAAATATTATATTGTTATCAAGTATGATTTTCCAGTCTTTATATAATATTTTAATAAATATTACTTTTGAATAATTATAAGGTTTAGATTATAAATATTATTTTGTTGATTTCTATATATTATGAATTTTGATAAAGAAAACACCACGTTAATATTTGTGATCTTTATATTTTAAATGAAAAACTTGTTAAAATTGGATGCTGAATCATTAATTTACTTATTTAATGATTCCATTTTTTTCTATTATTTAATTTTTGAAAAATTAAATCAATAAGAAATGTATTTATTTAATATAAGATAAATTGTGATTGTTTACTGTATTAAATAATACAGAGAAAAGATTTTACTACATTTAATATGTGTAACAGATGTATTCAATATAATATGTGTCAATAACAATATTTTTATCCTTACCTTTCATTTATAAATATAGATTAACAGTTATACAGCTAAATAAGATAAGTGTTTCTAGTGAAATTTCTAGTGAAGAAATAAACTAAATATTTATATCGAGGTACTTAATTTTTTTTTAACAATGAGATAACTATTAGTCGGCATTTGCTTTATGAACATTAATAAACCATGATGTATACTATATATTTCAGTACCTAGGTAGTAGGTACCTACTGTTAATCTCCCCTTAATATAATATATTGATGTTATAATTATTATGCAACTATAAATATAACTTTTATTTTATGTTATTGCTTACCATAATTTAACCAACCACCAAACCACTTAACACCTACCCAAAAAATGTTCATCATTACGCCTAACCCTATAGTAATATGACTGACACCATGCCCTTCAAATCACCAATATCCATAAGCAAATTTAGCTTTCAGATTTTTTATTATTAAAATTTTTCATTTAATTTTATGCTCGGGGATTAATTAAAAAATAACCGTTTTAAATTATCAATTAAATAAAATGTCCATTAATATTAAGGTCCATTCAACTTGTCATCTTAAAATAAAATAACTGCAATAAACTCATTCTTCCTTATACACAATTTGAAAACTGAGACACTTAATGAAAAAAAAATATATATACATATACAAATTTAAAAAACCGTATTTACTTACGGCCAATAACAAGTAATCTATATCCAGTGTCAGCTGGGAACGAATTTTATCATCATCAGAATTAACTTTGTAGTTTGGATCTCTAATCTTTTTCAGTTTTCTTAAGCTTTCTTCCGTTTTTTTTATTGCTTTCATTACATCATCAACATAAGCTACATATCTAATATAAAAGTGTATAGTATAAACAGACGCATTTAAATTCCTCCTTATTTCTTCATTACTAGTTTAATTACTTACTGTGTTACTATATGATCTAATACTTGTTTTTTACAATTTTTATTCTGTAATGTTTTTAATGTTACCACAATTGATTTCATGTAAGCACATGGTTCATTTGGATAATCTCGATTTGTGTGTCTGAACAACCTTGGTACATCAGTTACTCTTATTACATGAGACATGGCTTCATCCGTCACAGATTGCACTTTACATTTACTTACATCATTAATCAACGTGTTTAAATTGTCATTTACAATACTACCTGTACAATTACGGGAGCATATAAAAATACAAATCATAATTCAAATATTTGAAACACTTACTTTTTTGTAATTCTAAAACATCAGCAGGTACCTTTGTACGTAACAATTCTTCAAACATGGAATATATATCATTTAATTTAAAATAAAATATATTTAAATCACTTTCCAAATCCTCGAGAAATTTAATACGGGTGCTAAAGTTTTTTAAATCAGTCTTAGATTTGACATTAGCATCTTCTGCCCAAGTCTGATATCTAGATATTAACTGTAATATTAATTTGAAAAATCTGAAATAATAAACCAAATTGAAATGTTTATAACCAACATTGTGTTTGCTTAATCTTAAATGTATTAATAATTGTGTAACCTGTGGCTCAATTGATGTATGAAGATATTTGGATCTAAACAAGAACACATAGAATCCCATACTGCTTTTGTGACTTTAAGTTTAAAGGTTTTATCACTACATGACTCATAACTTTCATGGTTCATAACATTTTCAGCACAAAATCCAATCTCTTGAAACCTTGCGTTGAAATCAAATTGTAATACTATTATAATTTATACAATGACAAATAATTTATGAAAAAATACTAACAAATATTTTAACCCACTATTTTCTAATTATGTATCTACCTATTTATATATTTCAACATAAATTTGTTTGGATATTTTTATAAACAGTAGATTCAAAGAGTTTAGCAACATGAGATAGAATAGTAACAGGTCTGAAATTTTCAATCTTTGAAAAACTTACCGATTTAAAGATAGGAATATAAGAAATGTGGGTGAAAAGGTGAAAAAAGTCTCCTGAGAGACCATCAGAACATATGGATTTTACTTCACTTCTTTTGGTTTTACTTCTACTTGGTAAGATAGAGGTTTTTTATAGCATGAAGTCAACATAATATATTATATAGTCCCTAGCCCTATATATTATATTTTTGGTTCTAGAGTTCAGAATTATAACTTTATTGGTTACTTTTACAAAAGTTAATAAATAGTAAATACATGAATAAAATTTTCATTTACAAAAAGTTTAGCTTTTCCATCTTTTTATACCTTTTATATAATGGTATAATTCAGCATTTCTCAAACAGTGTTGAACCCTAGGGTTCATGAATAAAAAAACTTAAGAAACACTGGTGTAATGTATACTGTTAGTATTTATAAATTATACAAACATAAATGCTTTAAGCATAATATAATATCATTGATTATAATAATTATTATTTTATAATCAATGATAATATGTATAATGAATATTGTATATATAATTTTTGTAATCATATTCAACATATATTTTAATGTGGGTATTTTTATAGTTATATGTGAAATTAAGACACCAAACTAAAAAACAAAAATGTATACTATGTATAAAATTCTATTATAAAAAAGGTATATTCTGTCCTACGAGAGATCATGCCGCGGACTGACCAAAATCTTTTCTGCACGTTCCTACATGACACCCTGCAAGGAACCGGTTTTGACAGCAGAGTGACTTGAGGGGATGAGCAGAACTGGCGTATTATCTCGTGGGACAGAGTATATAAGGAGTTTAACTAACCCCTACCCCCCTCAAAACTTGCTGTATGACTATTTAAGCCATGTGAGAACTATATAAATGAAAGGCATCTCTCCACTTATTTTAAGCAACTTCAACCACTGGACTCTCATATATGAAAGCTTTGCAGCGTTTTTAGATTAAAATTTGAAGAGTGCCGAAAGAGAGAAAGAAATTATGATAGTCGGAAGGATCAAGCTTTGTATATTCGTATATTTCTATAGTTATATTATTAAATATATTTTGGCTTACCGATATTGATAGTAAATTGGCAAATTCCAGCATTTTTTAAAATCAGACCAACTTTGTACTTTATGTAATGGCTCACTTTCATGTTGTGAAACAGATAATTCAATCAAATGTTTCATGAATTCATTAAATGTTACTTTATAATTCTAAAACAGTAGTCATACTTCAGGTTATGAGTTATATTTAAATTGTCATTTATAATATATTTTAAGAAATTATACTTTTATGAAAATATCAGGTTCTCTGAAGTTATAGATGCATTGCAAATTATTTTTTACTTGATCAAAGATAACAGGCCAAAAGCTTTTTGAAACAAAATTGAACCTGCAAAACTTGTCACTTCTATAAATAAATAATATATATTTAACGGGTATTATCATTATCGAAATGAATAATAATATAATTAAACATGAAGCATACATATTATTTTGTTCTTCTGCAGCTTGAAGCAAATGTTTCAAATCTACTTGAAGGAATTCATAACACTGGCTGTATAATTCTTTTAAACCATCTTTACAACTCCGTAAATAATTTTCATTCAGTATAGATTTCATTGCTGGAGTCACAACTTCAGTCCTACAAACATCTTCAGCATATGTTGTTCTACCCAAAGATAAATACAGTTCAAGAAAACACTTCACCGCATTTGCATTTGTTGACACTGAAGACACAAAGGCTTCATTTAATTTGCTCATTAATAAATCATTCAGCATTGTTTTTTTCTGAATGAAAAAAAATAAGCAAACATAAATTGAGTCATAATATTATTTAAAGATGAGATAAGTTTTATGATAAAATATAAAATTGAATTTATAAGAAAATATTAGATCTTATATGAATGTACCGTACCGTAAAATGCACAGTTTTCAATATATCACTGCATTTGGTCATACTTGATGTAAGCTGATTATATTCAGCCACAGCTCGAGTTAAAATGATTATATTACAATCATTTTGATCCATTAATAATTCATCTAATTTTTCTAAAGATTTTTGAACTTTTATGATAGCGTGAAATGCCTGTTTATCTTCACATAGTTTTTTATTTAATTGTATTTCATTATCCAAATAGCATAATGTATTCTCCAAATTGTTTTTAGCTTCCTGAATAAAATTATTAACATTCTTATATTTCTAGAAATAACTCCATACACTATATAGTATGTAATGTCATACATTAACAGAGTTACTTAACAAACTCAATTCTGGTTTTAAGGTTGCTAATTGCTGGTCAATACCAATTAAACCCCTAGATAAATGAAAATATTTGTCACAATCATCATTGAGTGAATTTATCATTTTATTGCGTAGGTCTTTCAGAAAAATGCCCATTTCAACTCGCATGTTTTCTAATGTCATTTTATTACGATTTTCTGTTAAAAATTCATCAACAGAAAATGATTCCTAAAACAAAAATATTATATATAAATGTTTTATTATTATAATATAAATCTATATTCTATACCAAGTGTCCTCAGAAACAAATAACATTATAACTTTATGCATATTTTAGTTGAGTATGAACATGGAACTCAGGGGCGTACTCAAGGGGGGGGTTCGTGGGGTTTGAACCCCTCCCATGACCTTACTAACCGATGCACTTTTGTGCGTTCTTGTTTATACATAATATAATTCACAGGAGCAATTTTCTAAAAAAAAATTTTTAAGAAGGGAAAAAATAAACCAATATATTTATTTTCAATTTTATATCAACATGCATTATACAACGATTACAAGCATTATCTGGAACTGTATTATGATAAACAGATAAAATTTAAATCAAACATACAAGGTGTATTGATAAGTTGTCGTCACTCTGGACCCCTATACGTATTACGTATACACTCTTGATTGAAAATATTACCACAGTTCTATAGTCACCAGAGCACGCTTCCTGTCCTACGAAGGCCTGTAGCCAGTATATTATTCATTCTGTTAAATGCAAAATGTCTTAAAACTTCAGAATTAAAATGCTAATATTTTTTAAAATTGAAGTCAGTATTTACAAAAACATTGAATCATAAAAAGTTTTTTTTTAATTGAGTTGGCATAATAAATTTGGAGCCAGTAATTAGTGTAATTATATACATTACATTTGCATTTTATTCATTGGCAATATTTTTATCGAGTAGACATCAATTAGAAAAAAATATTATGTATAATTTAATCACTTCTTTGGATATTTGCATCCTTCTTAAAATCTTTAAATTAAATTAAAACTATTATGATTCTACTCCTAATTCTAATAGTAGTCTGGTAGAGTGGAGTATTATTTTCTAGTGCTCATAAAAAACTAAAAACATGTTTAAAATATTTTGCATATTTTATTTTATGATTAGGTATATTATTTATATTATAATATTATTCAATAATAGTTATCTTATAAACTTCAAACTAATTTTGAAAAATTGTTTAGTTTTTTTGGTGTTTTCTTGTTTTTAGCACCTTGCTCATTTTTTTCTTTTGTAAGTGAATATCATTCTTGTTTTGACATAATGCGTTATGATATATTTGGTTAATATTTGACTGTGTATTGAGCAACCAACCTTTGTCAAAAAATGTGTTTATATATTTCTTCAATAAATATAAATTATGTTAGGAAAATAAACAGTGAAAAATGTATATGTAGTTTTCAAATTGAAATGCAACATTAAAAACATGATCTTTTACTGGGACAGCTAGTTATATTTATTATATTTAGATATTTTACACTATAATCTAGTACAGTATTTCTCAATTTTTTTTGTCGTGAGGCTCCCTAAATTAAAACTGTCAAGGCCCCCTTAATCAAAATTATTAATTGTTTTTTCTAAATTAGGTATATACTAAAATTACTTGTACTATTTCACACAGATTAATTATTAAAATGTATAGTAATTTAATATACTTTTGAAAAATATTAATGATAGTATTAAAATTTAAGTATTTATTCTTTTTCCATAAACGCTTAAAGTCAAAAAATAAAAATAAAAATAAAATAACAACATTTTTTACTAGTGTGCCTGGAAGTTCTAAGCACATTGAACCCTAAAATAATCTTAAAAGAAAACATGAAGACGTTAATCAATCGGAATCGGAATATTGTTCTTTAAATAAACATTTTTCATTTTTGAAATTTATTTTCAGTAGAGTACATTACCATGTTTATATTTAATATTTTTAAAAAGGAGGTGACAAAGTGCCCGTGATAAAAAACAAAATGTTCAACCCCCCCCATTGAAAATTCCTGAGTACGCCCCTGATGGAACTAAAGAATATGAACTATCAATATTTTTAACGTACCTATATATTCCGATGCATACACAATATAACTCAATTTTTTTTAACAAGATCTCCCGACTATTCTATACACTATCATACTCCTATTGATCAATATTTTTCAAGTCATTTTTAAGTAGGTACCAATTGTTATCGCAATATAAAATTGACTTAAGTGAAGTTATTTCAAATAAAAAAACAAAAATATATTTGTTTAATTAGAATTTTTTTTTAAATATATGTACTCTTTAGTTCTAAACACAGTGATTCAGTCAAAATGTATCAATCTAACTTTTAGTTTAACATTAAAGAAATTATTATTTTATTTTTATTTAAGTAATAATTAATAACTAATAGACACGTTGTTCAAAAATGTTGACTGCATACAAACACTATAAACACCCAGTTTTAAATTACAGCTGATTTAAGCACTCATTAGTCTCATTTAGTCAATTTTTGATCTAGAATACAAGTTCATAATGCATTGTAATGACTTTAAAGTATTGGACTAATCCAAATAATATGTTGTCAAAATGTCCCTATTTTGTATATATGTATGTATGTCTCGATCACAAAAAATAAGTGCTGTTGTGCAGGCCCAGAATCCAAAAACTATTTTATATTTAAAATTATATAGTTTGGGATTACTGTTTTTTTAAAACTTGAAAGGTTGCAGAGTGCAATAGATGAACTGGAAGGATTATATCTGTAACCCAATTAATACAGAAAAGATTTTTTTTTTTAAATATCTAAGTAAATTACAAAAGCATAACGATAAAATATATAAATCAATTTAGATGTAATTTCCATTGCTAAAAATGATATATTCTGGACTATGTACAGTTTACACTAATAAATGTTTACATTAAGACAAATGCTAGATATTAATAATGGCCAACTATTCATTATGGAAATGGAAACATGATTATTACCGGAACAATCACTTTTATTAAAATAAATTAATGAAATCATGTAAATCTAAGAAATATTAATTTGTATTTACTGAGTACTAAGATAAATAGGTAATACTGATTAAAGGAATAAAAAAAATGCTTCATAATAAAATAAAACTAAAAAAAAGCCATTAGCAAACGTCTACGACAATAACTTTTGAATATGTAATAGGTTTCTGCACATTTGTTTTTAATCATTTTTGTATTAAGCAGAAAAACACGTATACCTATTTTGAAAATAGAGTTTCTTGTAAATTAGATTTGTACAAAAAAATATTTGCATATGTAGGTACCTTTGAGAATGTCTGCATATCAAACATTGGAGAAATGTTGTCGGAATCCATATCGAAATTTAATATTGTTTAAGGTTTTATGTTTTTTAAGATTAACGTAAAATGTAAATTGTCAAAAACGATGCGGGTACCAGCTATATAAGATGAATAAATGTTTTAATCGACTAACAAATAATACCTGGTAAGTGATAACACGTTAGACATCGCGATAGAAAGCTTATCAATTTTTTGTCGGACCGTCCGTAACGGGCACAGATTACAGGCCCGGATTAAGGGGTGGCCAAGGGGGGCCACCCGGCCACGTATGTAAAGGGCTTATTCCCGGCCAAGGGGGCCCACGTATGTAAAGGGCCCATGCCCGGCCCATAGTCTTCTCGGTGTTAAATATGTTGAAAAAAGAAACAGGCTATTGGTGTCTATTTTGGAATGACATATTATTACAACATTGTAATAAAATATCTATTGATTTACAAAGCAAAAGCGATGACATTTTACTAGCTGTAAATTTGTTGAAAAGCTTAAAAAAAATTGTGAACAAGTTCTACGAACGTTGAGTTGGAGAGTTTTGCTCTCCCAAATAAATAATACATAGATAGTACATACAAAGATGAAAATAAAAGAAAAATCATAAAACAATTTCCTGGTGGTAAAAAATAACAATAGTAAGGGTTTAACTATACTTGGACAGTCTTAGTGGTAATACCTAATAAATATCGAGTTGAAACACATCATGTAATAATTGATACATTTTTGCTCAGAACTGGACTCCTGAATAAATACGTTTAGTGTAGTAGTTGAAACACTTTTATTCTTAACTAGACTACATGTTGAGTCTTTTAATGATATTGATAAAAGTGTTAATAAATTCATTAGTGTATAAAAATGATGATGATTCAATCAAATATGAAGGTTAGTAGATTTCAAGTAGTTTTGGGATCAGTTAAAACTAAAATTTGATGGAAGTGATGCACTCAAGATATTGAATGGATGACGAATGTAATATTATTAATATTTTCCCTAACATTCATATTATTGCTATAAGAATATATCTTCCCATTCCTGTTCCTAATTGTACTGCAGAGAGAGCATTGCCGAAGTTCGCCAGAATTACTGGATCCCTTGGCCCCCGAAGGTCTTATTCCGGACTTGCACAGATATATAACTGTCGTCTATCATCTGTATATATAAAACAGTAAGCTGACTGACTCAAACCATTGGACGGATCGGGATGAAATTTGGCATATACCGATAGCTATTATGATGTGGGCGTGTAAACGATTTTTGGAAATTCAACCCCTAAAAGGGAAAATAAGTGGTTGTAAGAATACAACAGTGCATATAGGCGCAAATTGGTGGAAAGCTTGGGGGTGCTAAGCCCTCCCCAAAACCTAGGACATACAATTTAAATATGCTATATTGCAATGGTCTGCTTGCCTTTAATATATTCAGCCTCCCCAAGTCAAAAGTTGAAATGCGAAATATGCAACAGTGGCGCATCTATCAAGGAAATATCTATTTAATTAAATCAATATTGTTTTAAAATATAAAACGTACGTACTTGATATAGGAATAGTGGTTCCTTTATTGATCTAGATGAGCAATAAGAAAGGATTTTCTGATATTCATATTTTAAAGAGGTGGTCAAACAGAGATTTTAAGTTACGTACCTACAATTACGCCGATTTGTCCATAAAAAGAAATTAAAATAAAATAAAATAACCCCAAAAATATATAATATATTAACTACTCCTAATAATTCGGGATAATCAACTATGACTTCAATACTATTTTAGGTACACTGTGATAACCAGGGATGGCCAATCAGTGGCCCGCCCTGGAAAGTTTTGCGGCCCGCAACATTTATCAAATATTACAAAAAAAAATTATTTTTCCATTTAATCCATTTTTTTTTTGTATTGGGGCAAAATACTTTTATAATTTTATTTGTGGCCTAATTTTGAATAATAAAATATGTGATTATATTAATATTTTTTACTGGGTGATGACCTTTTTTTTTTTTTTTGGCAACCCTATATGTGGCCCGCAAGATTGTAATGTATTTACAAAGTGGCCCTCAAGATCATTTGGGTGGTTTCATCCTGGTGTAATCATTTTTTTCAAACTACAATCACAGATCATATACAAGTATATTATCTAAAGCACAGATATTGGTGTGGGCTAGTACTATCTTAAATTGTGTTCCAGAGATTAAATGTTATCAAGTTTTCAGTTATGGTTATTATTTATCGGTGTTTTTGAATATTTAAATTTTTTATTACTTATCAAAATATGTGGTCCTTTTGAAATCGAAAACCACTAATTATTAATTCCTATTAGTAAAGGTCTATGTAATTTCTGTCAATACACGCATATAAATGAATAAGTGATACACAGCCGCGCCCCTTACAACTTACAGCTCATTAATTTCTATCGCAACTTTTATTTTTTTTTTATTTGATTCAATATATATCATATATATCATATTTCTGAACTTACACCATAGTTATTTGAACGAAATATTATAGTAATATGATGAGAAAAAAATGAATGTAAAATTGTAAAGTAAGACTATGGCTAGTTTAGTCATGAGTAGGTAGTAACTAATAGAGACTAATACTAAATAAATTTCAATAGTTGTAGTTCCACCCTCAAATACCTAATATAGTATTTGCCACCATGAACATAATCGATTTACGATAGTAGTATCAAAGATCAAAATTCAAAGACCATAGATTAGAACAGAGCCTTGCACCCGAATTAACCAGAGCCCGTAACAGCCTTAAAATCCCATAAAGACCCCTTAAAATAAACACCCAAAACCCATACAACCCAAACGATTCTATTTAAAAACACAAACACCCAAATCAACTAAAACATTCTGGTTAACCTGAAACCTGATTAATTTTTTATTTTACAATTTTCAAGTGATATCTTTTTTGTATATATTTTATGAGGTTAGATCAATTGTGTAGTTAATTATTTGTTTAATAATAACAATATTAAATTTGAACATTTTTCTAAACAATTAAAAATTTAAAAAAAATATCTAATAAAAATAATTAGGTATAAAATATTGTTTTTTTCTGAACTACTAAACACCCGTATTATTGTATGAACCAATACGTCATGTCCAATATTAACCTGAATAATAACGGTTATTAACATTGTTTGTTTACATTTTTTATTCAGGTGCAGCCTATATGCTATATATTGCTGGAGATAGGGTTCAGCCTATTTACTATATAAAGTAAGAAAAAGAATGGTCTTTCATAGGTAGTAGGTTGTAGGTAGCAAATCCCCCTTCTATTGGATATTACAAATATCTAGTTTGTGCCATATCTGTTACCATAAGCCCCCTAAGGGGTGAAATATTAAACATTAAATTTAAAAAAATAAATAATTACTCCATATATTACAACAATTTTAAAATAAAATTTAACTTGTTAAGTTATGAAATCACTTTGGGAAATAAAGTAACTCATTAGGTAATAGGTATTCATCATTATGTAAATTAATTAAATGTAACTTTAATTCTTAACTTACTGTCTAGCCTTTTCATTTGATATAAAATTGAATAAATAATTAGGTTTAAGAGGACGCTACACCCGCATGCATTGTTTTCATCTTACAAATGTACAACATAGCAAAAACTGCTAGCTTGGGACAATTATGCTCCTTCTGTATTTAAAGTAGAATAAAAATTTCACAACACACAGGGAAGAACCTTATCTATGTTGTAGTATTTTTATTATTTGGATAGTATAAATAAATACAAATAGTCAAGTTTTGGTAAATTTACTATAAATATAGAGGGAGTGTATATGTTGTCCTCCACAAAACAGTTTTTCTATGATGTATTTGTAAGACGGAGACAATGCATGCGGGTGTAACGTCATCTTAAGTTTAAATGCAAGATACTGATGTAATTCATAGGACATAATATTTTACTTTAAATAACAATATGTGACAGAAATACAGAATGTACAATAGTCTGAGACTGATCATATATTCGGTTTTAAAAAATATTTTTTGAATCAAAATAATTTTCTATAAATATGTGACCAGTAGAACAATTTTAAGGGGCAGCTGGATACTTAACAGGTCTCAAGAAAGGATTGTCAATGGGTTCTTCTGGTTTTGATTCAGTTTCATCACCATTGTTTATATCTTCTTCTTCTTCATTTTCATTTTCTTGTTCTTCATTTTCATCAAATTCTTCTTTTATCTGAATTTCTTTTTTGAACTTAATTTTTTTAGTAGGTACTGGTATTTCAGTTTCATCGGGATCCTCGTCAAATACTTGATCTTGAGGTAACAATGCTGAGAGGTATGCGGGTTGTTGTGGCTTATTGGCTATCACTATAACAAAAAACATTTACTATTAAAAGCTTTGTAATTTGTTTTTCTGTGCAGGATTGATTCTAGACTAGTTAGGCATTATTGTAGTACCTAGTGGACCATAATATATTCAGTTCAACGCCTCCAGCATATATACTTCTAGACTTGGGATGGCAATTTTTCCAATGATACGTGCCAAAAATTACCTGATTTTTATTTTCCTGGGCGTCATTAAATTATGAAGAATATTAAATACATATTTAAATAAGAAAAAAATGCTGGTCTTATTATTTATCATTAGAAATAAAATATAATAAGTAGGGTTCGGATTTGAAGACAAAAGCCTTATTAGTAATAATTATAATAGAGAAATAATTTTTATATAAAAATGTGTGTCATTTAAAGAGGCTGGAGCTTGATTAATTTTAGGTTGAAAACATAGCTCACAAATCACTACACCCAATTTAATGTTCTGATATTAATTTTGAAAGCAGATTTGAATTTGTCACTAAATTATCTATGCTTTGACAATTTCATTTTTCTGATTTTTTTTTTTTTTTACTTAGAAATTTGCTAACAAAAAGAGTAAAAATAGATTATATTCATAATTTAAATTGAAATACATTGATAAAGAATATGAAAAATGTACGACAGTCAAAGCATAGTAAATTCAGAGGAGAATTCAAATCTGCTTTCAAAATTTAAATCGGAACATCCTAGAGAGCGTAGTGATTGAAATCACTGGCAGTATTTTTTGAAAAAAAATTTTTAGCAATTTTATTAAGTAGGTAATGAGTGGTGACATGTGCATGCGAGTAGGTAAAATGACAGACGTATTATGATTCCCCTATACAACGTGATCGGTACTACAAATTACACACACTAATGTTTATTTACTTTCAATACATTCACAAGACCCATTTAAGGCGGCTCTTAGTGGCTATTATTTAAGGGGAACAATTTAGGCAATTTCTAATCTTGTCGTCGCCGCCCGTAATCTATGTGTTAGTCGTAAATGATTATTAGTGTGAAATTCGAACTCGATAACAATAGATTTTATATCGCCCGGCTGCGGGCACACGGTTCAATAGCACACGTACGCGCATGCACAAGTCAACGTAATCACTCTCGAAAAATATTTTTGTACACTCACAACAGTGAAAAATGCTAATAAGCTGGCGAAAAATACACATACTTCTAGTAGTCCAATTTCAATTTTGAAAAATTATTTGAATTCGTCAGCCTCTTTTCTATGATTTGTAGGAAACCGATTTTGGATATTTTAGATAATTTACGTATATTACGGTTCCAAATGACTGCTTGATTTCTCAAATTTAACTTGCACTTTTAAGTGCTAACTAGACAAAAATATGAAAAAGTTTTTCCTACAGATCATAGAAAAGAGACTAACGAATCCAAATAAGTATTCAAAATTGAAATTGGACTACTAGAAGTATGTGTATTTTTCGCCAGCTTATTGGTCTAAATGCATGAAAAATCCAATCGTTTAGAGCCGCCTTAACTTGAAATATAAAATGCCTAACGCATTTTTTTTACTTATAAATGTATTTTTGCCTTTTTCAATTATAAATGCCTTAATTGTGTTTAATTTTCAATTGATTTGATAGTTTTATACACAACATATTAACAGTACAAATCGATAAGATTTTCTGAAGACTGTACCGATGTCTGTCAATTATTTTTGAATGGGTTTTATTACCTTCAATAATTATAGACATCATTAAACATTTAATCAAGTATTTGGTTTGGCCAGTTAATTTATAGCTTATAAAAGTACCTATACTACCAATCTATAGATTAAAATATGTTCATAATGCATAGATACTAGATTCAAAATAGTTCGTCAGTCCGCCCTGATAACTTCCGTGGACGTAGAAAGATCATTTTCTATGTACAAAAATATAAGCCCAAACCTACAAGGTTTTACTGAAGATAGTTTATCTAGGTACATGGTAGTGATTTTTTTTTTTAACACAAACTAATTAAATCTGTTAAATTTTTTTTTTGTAATTGCAAATCAATTTACATAAATTAAGTGCTTTTTTTGACATTTTAAATGCATTTTTTATTGAGATATTGCCTTTAAATCTAAACCCTAATAATAAGTATTTTATTTTTTTCAGAGATGAAAAGTGCCCATTGTACTAGACAGTAGACACTCAAATACAAGTGCATTATCTCAATAATTCAATCATCTTAGTGTTAGAAATCCTCAAATTGGTATTTTTTTTAACGTTGCTACTGCGTTTGATAGGTTATGGACACAAGGAGTTGCTAAATCTATAATGTACATAAGCACAATCACACGTCACTATATTTTGCAATCAAAAATGTTTCAACATGAAAGTCCCAAAAAGCAGAAGAAAAATGTTGCCAGTACCAAAAGCCTGGTTATAATTTTTATAACATATTTGAATTCCTTATTCTCTTTTCTAGCTCATGTAAGAAATTAATTTTTGATTATTTGAATTGTTTAATTAGTATACCTAGTACTAAATACATTTTTTTTCAAAATGTAAGATTACTTTTGTTTACTAAAAAAAAATAATAATCAAAAATCCATTTTCCAACATAACTTAGAAAAAAAAAAAAAGAATAAGGAATTCAAATAAATTTCAAAATTTAATATTGAACTTCTGGAAGATTATTTTATTTTATTCCACTTATTGGTCTAAATGCACGAAAAAAGACTGTTTTCAACAGCCTTAAGTAATATTATCATACTTACAAGCAAAACAATCATTTTCTTGGTTCAAAAATAAACTTTCAGTAGGGCCAGTTTTTATTAAAAACTTAATTAATGATTTTTCAAGTTCATGCTTTTGAATTGCAGATTTTTCTCGGATCGCTTCATATTCAGTTACTGGTTGTTTGTGTGTCTGCAAATAAATAATATATTAGTTTATTACAAAAATAACTGTTTGTTGTACATTGTCACAGAACTAGTTATCTTACTGGTGTCCTAATGTATGCATGCGGATCTGGAAAAGCTGGCATATAACTTGGCATATACGATGGATGTGGCAGTCTAGTCCCTGCTTGAAGGTTACTTGTTTGGCGTGGCTGTACAGATGGTACAGGGCTAGGGAGAACAGCTCGATTTGATCTTTTGGCATAAGCTAATAAACTGGACGCATTTTTGAACATACCTATGTCAATTAGGCCCATCATAACATCGGCACCGAGAGGCTCGAGACGCCCAGCTACTTCTGCATAACGACGGCTACTATTTCCTATTTGTGATAGCACTAAAATCAAATAAAAACATTCAAATACATTACATTATAATTTTTAATATAAAATATGACCATTGAAAATACACAATACTTTCATTGGAATCAGTGACAGTAGCACCAAAACTTTGCTACGCTTTTTGATTTTTATTTCATACAAACATACTTATCCAATTAAAAATGTAATATTCAACCATACCCTAAACGCAGTGGCAAATTTAAAAAAGGTCACTTAGTCAAATTTAGTTATGGAACCCACGTAGGTAAATAACAATGAACAGGTTTAGTAAAAGATTGGTATGTCACGGCTTCCAGATAAATATTGCACTAGTCACCTTTAATATGTTTGCCCACTAGGTACCTAGGTAATTATCATTTCAATCAAAAATATGTGATTGTCAGAACAGCCAAACTGTATAATTTAAATTAGTTAAGGCATACAGTCAGTAGCCATCAACATTTACTGACCACTAAAGAGCATTTCGACGAGGGTCTCCAGGGCGCCGGGTTCTGCCGCTTGAAACCCATTTTCCATCAATATTCCGGCCACAGTGGTCTTCAAAAACTTCCTCTCCATAGTCTTATCCATTATCGACAGACACAATCTATGAGGACGTTCAAGATTTACGACACCCCAGGCACAGAATAAAATATTTTAATAGTCCAGGTTGCGGTTAAGTACCTACTTACATCCGAAAATCCAAATATTATTTCTGCCAGCCACCGCTATTTAGTCATGGGCTGTAGCTGTTATTCAAGACAACGTTATCATTATTTCAAGTTGATAACACAGTTATATAAGCCACAGGGTAATCTCTATTGTGTGAACCCGCCACCAGGCTACTATCTACTGACTACTATCTACATTCTATGCATAGATAATATATAATCTATGATTCTATGCCATCGTGTCCGTCGTTGACATCCGTGTAAATGAAAACAAACTATTATTTATTACTTATTATTATCATTATTAAAATATTATTGATATTTGATGTTTTAATTATTGTTTTAAATTTTTTTGCCTACCAGTTTACCACAGCCCTATTTTTGGCACCTGTTCGTCCGATAAATTAGCTTAGAAATAAATGTTTCTCTACAGTTTTATTCTTTTTTAATGTAGCAAACGCTTAGGAGATTGTCTACATCCATGGATTATTTTAAAAGTGGTTTAAAAACGGTGCTCGGTACGCCCGTCGTCGAAGACCAGCCGTCCGGTGCCGATATTGTATGCTGTTTTTAGATTGTTATGTTGTAACTAAACACACACACACTTGATTATATATTTTGATAAGTTTGCATAGCATTCATTTATTATTTGTGTGTGTGTCTGTGTCACTATGGTTTGAAAAATATATATTTTGCTTTAACTGGCAACATTATACCTTGTCTACAGGTTGAACGTTTGGTGGAACGAGTTCAAAATTCCACGTTGCTGACAGACAGACGTGATGCATGCAGGGCACTTAAAGCCCTTACACGAAAATACCGCGTTGAAGTGGGTGCAAAAGGAATGGATGCCCTGTGCCTAGTGTTGCAACAAGACCGTGCAGACGCTGAAATAGCTAGCTATGCTTTGGGCACGTTAGGACTAATTATGCATGATAAGTTGTATGAAGAAGAAGGTAAAATGTATACTTCAAATGTATGATAAAGGTTATTATACTCTATTCAGAATAAGTATTCCCACTCGCTTGACGAAAACTCGTCTTATTCATGCATGTCTATTACCGCCAGTTGGCGCTGATGTTTGCTGTGCCGCTTCCGCCAACGTGCCGCAAGTGTATATGCAGTGAACAATAATATCACACCTTTTCAAGAATATTTGTATACCATGTAGGTATTGTGCTTGGTGCAGAACAATAAGGTAAAAGTACAAGAAACATGGTAAAGAAAAAAAATATACATTATAACATAATAGGTAATAATTATTACGATCTTGTTATTATGATCATCTGTATACACGGCAGCGTCTGTCGATAGCTACAGGTGATGGCAGCTTTCAATAACTGCTAAGGTGACCTATAATCACAGCTTAGCCTACACTCGCCAGGGGGGGTCTGACGGCTGCTGGCGGCTCAGTTGCTTGCTCAAAAGTGGGAATTCTTGTTCTGAACAGAGTATAGTTATTACTTCTCTATTAAGTATTCATCATGATATATTTAAAATTTAGGTAGGTACTAGGTATTATTTCTTTATTTTGATTTATTTTATTTTATTTATTTATTTATTTATTTTATTTATTTATTTATTTATTTTACATATTTTGGTTTTGATTACTAGAGCTTAGACTAGAACCTACCAGAACCTACAGTTATTTTTTTACTTTTTAATTTTTTATTATCAACTATAACTACCAGAACCACCCTCAAAATTGAAGGTTGAACTCTTTTTTTATTGCTTAAGGAGGGATGACCAATAAGACACAAAAACAAGAGTATAAAACTATCTAACTTAACAACCTAATATAATCATTGCTAAGAAACTAAAATGATAAGTACTTACTACAATTTTGTTGAGTAAAATTATAAGTATATACCTTTCTTTATGACTTCTTATTATCTTATAAATTCAAACATAAACCTTTTTTGTTTTTTTAGAAATTCCTGCCGTGACCGCAAAAGATTCGGATAAATTGGGTGAACGTTTCACAGAAATATTCATAAAAAAAAAAGAAAATGTTGGATTGGTTTTGGATTATTTAGAGGAATTTGATTTTCACGTACGGTGGCCAGCTCTTCAGTTACTGTTACAATTGTTGACAAATAAGTAAGTTAAATTAAAATCAAAGCAAATCTAGTTTTAAACTCCATTATACTTACGGGGCCTCGCAATGGCATTGATTTAAGGAGAATCATTTAGGCAATTTCTAATCTCGTCGTCGCCACCCGAGATCTATGTGTTAGTCGTAAATGATTATTAGTGTGTGTGGCGTCCATGCGGGTCAATTGTAGTGGTGCGGAGGGCTCTCGCACGCACTCGCACACACATGTCAATATATAATAATATTGTGATCATGAAAAAATGCTTATTAGTTATTTTTCACTTAAACATACGATTCTAATTCCAACAGTACGTCGTAACGATTACCTCGATTTTCATTCTGACAAAATATTCTTATTTTCCACAACGTGTACGAGGGATCGATCGAGGCTCATTTTTAAAATTGTATTTAGTTAATTAAATATTTAAGTTGGAAATTCTGTATTTTTTTTAAATTTTTTACAATTTTTATTGCAATTTAAATTACAAAAATTAAAAATGTGGCTCGATCGTTCCCTTGTATATATTACGGAAAATCAGAATATCTTTTCAGAATGAAAATCGTAATAATTGTCGACACGTATCGTTGGAATTAGAAACAGTAGTTTTTGACAAAAAAAAGACTTGGTAGTGAGGCCCCTTAAATAAATATATTCTAACTGTTACAATTTATAATGTATATTTCTAAATTATTAACATATTATGTGTATGTTGTGAAATGTGAATTATTTATCTTTGTAAATTATCTTAACATTTTATTTAGTTAAAAATTAAAAATATGTTATTATTAAGTCTCGCTTTTATCAAATAGTACTTTTAGGTAATTAAGTGTGGTCACTCCTATCCTTTACACACTTGGAATTCCAATAAAAGAGTGAAAAGAATTTTTTTTTTTAAATTTGAAATGGTATAATAGTATTTTAAAACCTCACTTCACAAATCTATTGTACAAGAAGCATATTACATGATGTAACAGTTTCAAAAAACTTTATTTGAAAACAATCGGTTGAAATAAGGTTCAACAAAATAGCTTTTATCATAGCTTTTTACGCTTTTAGGATAGGTGTGACCTTCCCCCCCCCGCCTTCCCCCTTAATCGTCAAGAGAATTTAGATAGGTTTACCACATGGTGTAGTGAAAATGTGAAAATACCATGCTAAAATCTTTTACTAAAAAAAAATATCCTTTAGTTTTTAATTATAAAATTAATATTGTTTTTATTAATTGAGTGGATTCAGTTAGAGATTTGAGTGTTCTTTTTTCCTGTAATTTGTCTTTTTCTATTAATACTAGCATAGTTATTAATAAATCATTTAAAATGTTTGGTTTCATATTAAGGAATACTAGAGAATTTTAAGCACTAAAATCAATAGAAAAAAAAAAAATCAGAGAAATGAAATTGTCAAAGCATGGATAAATTAGTGACAAATTCAAATCTGTTTTCAAAATTGATATCAGAACATTATATTAGGCGTAGTGATTGAAGTCGTAAGCTATGTTTTCGACTAAAAATTAATCACGCTCCAGCCCTCGTAATATACATATTAATTTTAATAGCAACTATTTTATCTTAAAAAAAACTGTCTCGAGTTTTTTGGATTGTTCTATTTTATTATGTCATTCTATTAAATTTTGTAAAAGTAAATCTTGTTAATAATAATAGGGCTAAGGACGTGCAAGAAATGATTTTGGTCAGCCCTATGGGAGTTTCCAAATTAATTGACATGTTGAGTGACAGCCGGGAAGTAATTCGAAATAATGTGAGTTCTTTTTATGACTACTATTTATTTATTTTTCACAAATAAATAAACAAATGTATGGCTATATTTTACTTAGCAAAACTGTCTTATGACCATGTTTATTTAAAACTGATATAATATACTTTATATTTGTATTAATTAAATAATAAATAATTTTTAATTATTAAAAAATAAAAGCATATTACTAAAATTATATATTAAGAGCTCTGCCAAAATAAGTATGAAGTTAATAGAGCTAAATACTATTAACTTAAATGATAATATTCATTGCAATTAATTGTTTAGCATTGCATACATTTTAATAAAACTGTTTTATAAAGAATTTATTATTTATAGACTGTTAGACTGATTGTTGGATTTAGTTGTTATGTACATTATATTATAAGATTTTAATATATCAATTTCAATTTATTTATGCTTACTTGTTTTCATCATTTTTGATGTGTTATATCTGAGGAAATAAACCTAAATAATCCTTTGTTATTTAAGTTAACATTTTTATTCAGGCCGTTAAACCAAATTCCTAAGTATTAAATTAACTCTTATGTCAAATTGTTTAAATCAATTTCTTCAGCTTTTCAATGTCAGATACAAAAATAATATTATTTATTCAATAAGACGTATAAATAAATAAGTATAAATAAATAAGTATTAATATTTTTAACTAATGCTTTTTTAATGTTAATTGTTTGTTTATATTACCATTTATATTCTAGTATACATTAGTTTTAGATTAACATTAAAATATTAGTTATTTTTATTTAGATTTTTATTTTAAGAGAATGCTACCCATGCATTTGTTGTCTCCGTCTTACTTACGTACGACATAGCAAATTTTCATTCACTAGTTTCAATAGTGTGTTATTAGTTTTGATATAAGAGTAATTTGACCTATTATCAATTTTTTAGATAATAACATTATCTGTGCTTAAGTGTTGGCTTTTATACAATATTTTAATTTTCAAAAGAGATATAAGCATTTTTAATTTTTGATATTTCCCATACCCATATCTTGCTTGAAAATGGAAATTTCGAAAAATCGACAATGCCTAAGCACAGATAATATTCTTACCCAAAAGTTTTATAATAGGCCAATTTACTCTAGTATCAAAACTAACAGCACATTATTGAAACTAGTGAATGACAATTTGCTATGTCGTGCGTGCGTAAGACGGAGACAACAAATGTATGGGTAGCGTCCTCTTAGAGAATCCGCTACCCATATATTCTCTTAAAGAATCTTCTCAATCAATTTTATCAAATTTAAATGAACTTCTGGTATAATGGATGATGTATTATGTATTTATGTAGCCTTAATATTATATTATTATATATTATTCACTTGCTAGCCATTGTTCTAACTTCTAAGTGTAAGTGTATAAATAATATACCACTCTAATGTGGGCAAATGAGTTTGATCCCAACGTGTCCCCATCAAGTGGAATCCACTGTACATTATTTTACCAACATATTATCATAGTATCATAGGCGACCGTTAGGCGGAATCCACAGTTGTATTATCAAATTCAATTGCTATCTAAATGATACAATATTATGATCACATAAAAAAAGGTTATTCAAGATTCACTACTTTTATAGGTTCATATGTGTGTCATTATACATTCTAATGTCCCTTAAAGTATGATTTGTTAGTATACAATAAATACTCATGATATTAAAATACAGATCCACCCCCGCCGGCCTGATAATTGATAAGCTTTCAATTGCCAATAGCTTATTATTAACTGTACATATTATGTATGTAATAAATAATAATTACTTAGGAATTAAAACTTAATATTTATCCATTACAATTTGTTGTAGTCTGTTCTTTTGTTAACACTATTGACAAAAAGCAATGCAAATATTCAAAAGATATTAGCTTTTGAAAATGCTTTTGATCGACTATTTTACGTTATACAAGAAGAAGGCAATGCAGATGGAGGAATTGTCGTCCAAGATTGTCTGAATTTAATGTTGACTCTATTAAGAAATAACATTTCGACACAAAATTTCTTCAAAGAAGGTCTGTTCCCCAACAACAATCAAAATATTACTTAATAATAAAAAATAATTTTGTTTGTTTAGGTAATTTTATATCCCGAATATTGCCCCTTTTGCAGTTGCCCCTTATTGATGAGTGGCCCATTCAGAGAATAAACAATGTGCATTCAGTTCTTCAAATTATACGCACACTAGTATCACCAACCAATCCAGCTCAAGCTACTTCTTCATGCCAACAAGCCATGTACACATCTGGAATTCTAAAAGCATTATGTGACTTGTTGGTTGCGACTGGTGTACCCCGTAATCCATTAACTGAAGCCATATATACTGTAGCAGAACTTATACGTGGGCACAATGATAATCAATCATTTCTTGAATCAGTAAAGTCCAATGAAAATCCTCCAAAGTATATTCATATATCTGTGTTAATTAATACATTTCTGATGAATGTAGAAGTAATTTCATATTATGTATTTATTTTTAGGGATATTCTGTTATTATTGTTATATACAATGTTAAGCGACAAGCAGCCATTTGATATGCGTTGTGCGGTGTTGTATGTTTTCCAGTGTTACTTGTACAGAAATGATTTTGGAAAAATGAAAATTATTCAAAAACTTTTACCATTGGAAAAAGAAGGTATTATTATAAGTTATAACTTATAATGTCTTACTACTGTTATAATTATTTAATACTAACTCAATTCCCTATTTGTATATGTATTATATAGTAACTGAAACTTGCATCAGCAATCTTCTTTGTCGAGGTTTGTTCAACAAGGAACCGTTGAACTGCTGGTTTTCAGCAGTGGCACTTTCATACGCTCTTATTGATAACCCAGAAGGTAAGGAAAAGCTGCTGAATGTCAAGTTGTCGTCCAGTGATAATGAGCCACCTACATTACTGCAACAGATAGTTATTTCTATTCAAACAGTATGTATTTTCTGTTATTGTAACAGTTACAAGATTTTAAAAGAATACTCAATTGATATTGTATTTTAGAATGATAGAGCACAGTTTAAAATTGGCTATTTGATGTTATTGTCTACTTGGTTTGCTCATTGTTCACTGGCTGTTGAAAGTTTCTTGAAGATTAACTCAGGCATACCATACTTTATTACTCAGGTTCGTATTTTTTATTTATTCATAATTGTTTTCACGGTATGCTACAATCATATCATTTCTTAAACTCCCTTGTATGGATAAAATTTAATTATATTTTATAATAATTATAAAATATAATTAAATATTTTATTATTCTGATAAATATATAGGTTATATTTACAATGATAATGATGTTTTTTATTTATTTATTTTTTGTCTTTGCATTTTGGAATAGTAAAAATATTATTAAGGGGCCGTTACAGTTACATTTGTTTTCTCTGTCTTACAAGTGCGTAACATACCAAATTTTACTCTCAGAAAAACACGTTTATCTCCCGTTAATTTAAAAATTAGAGCGAATTGACCTCTTATAAAATTTAAAGCCAAGATTATTATCTAGACAATAACATAAGCTTTTTATTATAATTTAATTTTAGAGCGAGTTATGTGTATTTTAAAATTTTAAACTGTTTGTACATCTTAAAATACTCTTAAAATAATTTTTAAACTAACGGGAGATAAACGTGTTTTTCTGAGAGTAAAATTTGCTATGTCACGCACTTGTAAGAAGGAGACAACAAATGTTACTGTAACGTCCCCTTAAGAATAAAATTGGATCTAGTTAAAACTTAAAGCAATATAAATTTTTTATGAGCTTTCCAAGTTCAAATGTTGACTAAATTTGATATAAAAACGCTTAATGATGATTTCTTCTCATACAGTTTTTGTTATTTCTTATAATTTAAAGATTATAATAGAAACTTGATACGTTTCACTATTACTTAAGTAATAATATTTCTAAACACTGACATTTTCAAAATATTTTAAGACCTATTTTAATTTATTTATACCATGGACCTCCTATTCATACCGTTGGTATGGTATTGACCAAATGAATTAACCTATGGCATTGACTTATAAGATAATAACAATAATTCATGGTATAATATTAATATAATGTGATAATATATTTTTAAAACTAATTTAAATTCGTTATTATGTATACTTGAGATCATCCCCCCCCCCCCAAAAAAAAAAAAAAAACTTTAAATTTAGTTTGATTATTTTGAAATTTCGGAATTTTTAAATGTTGATTATTCGGAATTTAAATCAGAAATCTTAAAATGTGGACTAAGTGACCCACCGATCTCAAGTAGACATTAAACAAATTCAAATCAGTTTTCTGAAAAATGATCTCATTTTCAATAGGTAGGAATTCGTAGGATGGAACAAAATAAATACAAATGAGCATAAATTGTTTATCGTGTATTATAATCAATGCTAATACCTAACTAAATGTGTACGGACAGGGACAGTATACCTATTACCTATAGTATTTGAATAATGAAACGGCCAAAGCAAACGAAAAACACCTAATTGTGCATGTGTTTCGTTATAATACAGCTCTAATCGTCCTCTTATGACTTAAAAGCGACTAAGCAAGTACGCGATTTTGATTAAACTCAGACTAAATAACATGATCAAAAAACAAATAAATTAATTAACAAGAGAATCGATACGATCGGGTGCTTTGAATTTATTGTTTTTAATTTAGGCGTACCCACTGGCCACTACCCACGCTCGATTTTTGTCGATATTAAAATGTTATTTACGTCCGTAGAACAGTGTACAATATAATATCCATAAATATTATTAATTACAATAAAACGCAATATTGCTTTTATTTGTAGCTTGTACAATAATTATTCTTGTAATACATTAGTATTCGTCTGTGTCGTGTACACAAATACAATAAATTTCGCTACAATAAAATGCTCTTGAACATCTCATTAAGGTCGTCGTAAATATAAAATATAATATAAATTATATATATATAATTACCGGGAGAGCGATTATACTTAAAAGTTAAAAGTCTACTCAAACTTTTAAGATATATCTACCTGTTTTTACTAATATAATAGTACATAAAAGAACGTTCTTGTGGGCGGTTTAAGGTTTTTATGCATCTACAACATATTATAACTTGGGCCGGTATTTATACATATACGTGTGGAGCCGTTAAATTATCCAGGCGCGGTTCTAGGACTAAATGTTCATATGAGAAGTAAGAAATATGAGAAAGTAGTTTTCGTAACAGTACATGTATATAAATTTATAATATTAGGTCTAAATAATAAATCCCCCCCCCCCTAAAATACTTATTCTTATAGTCTCCACCTGTACCAACGGAATGAAGCCGGTGATGCCCCCCTATTTCCTGGATTATTATTAATTTAATTTGAACTTTAAATGCTTAGGTATAAAATATAATCGTATCTATGTTCGTTAATATTTTTAGATAGCAATAATAAAAACTTGAATTACATTTTTAAACTTTTTGACCGAACGAATAATTTTTTTGACGTTATTAGAAATAAAACTAAAATTAATCAAATACAATCCAAGCAAAGACCGTCTGACAAAGGTTACCAATCAAATTATTTATTTTTGTTTTTCCCGATTTTTTTAAAAAATACTGAGAATTTTCAAGTTTGACCTCCTTAAGTCCCAACTATAGATCCAATTTGCTTCCAAAATACTCCATCAAAGTTTATGATCAGAGCATATTTTATACTAGAGAAATTCAGAAGTGTAAGTTTTCAAATACTTCACCGAAATGTCTAAAATTATTAGACTGGAAAAAAATATTAAATTGTAGGTAATTATTTATTTTTCAAGCCCCCTCCCCCACGGAAATAATATTGATTATAATAGGTATTATAAAGATTTTAAATACAATAAAAGGTGGACAAATTGTTACTGCTCTGTAGTACAGTAGTGGTCGAGCATGTCCTTGTAATGGATGTGCTACATTTTATATTTTAATAATTAAATGATAAATTATTACATACGAAAAATGATTCTGATCGGAGATGTTGAGTCATCCTAAAAGAATTAATAAAAATTAAAATATCCTATGGCTATATATACTTTTCGGTAAACTGTTTTTTTATTAAAGGTAGAAAAATTTGTAGGGAAACTTTTATTAAAATTTCTAATGTTCGCTCTGGAAAGAAAAACTTTTATGAATTTCTAACTGAAAAATGAATTACACGTATATACTTACTATTTTCTATTTTTGCCACCTGATATCGTTTTATTTTATCACACTTTTTTGTTGTTAGTTATAATATTATATGTATGCTATTAATTCCATGTTCACTGCATATTACCTATGTCTTGCTTATATACAGACGAATCGTCTAGAGAACGAAGAGATCGAAGAAATCGTCAGCGGTCTGAGCACGTTCGTGATGGGTATATGTCTAGCGTTCAATCCTGACACGGTGGAAAATTTCAAAAAAGTAAATTCTTGATTTTCGTATACTCAAATTTTTCAGGACTGACGGTGTTTGTTTAATTCTCAGGATAGCCTCAGACATTTGATTAACAAACGGATAGGCGTGGAAACGTTCGTGGATAAATTAAACGATGTGTCTCGAAACGAATCGTACACCAGAGCCAGTAAACACCCGCAGCCGACGGCTCAAGACTCTAATTCTCTATTATTGGATTACGAGTTTTGCAAGTTGTTCAAAATGCTTGAAGGTGCGTACCTACATAGGTACTATAAATTACAATAGTATAATAAGAATAACACACCTCTATAGTTTATACACGGCTATAATACGATTGTATACAATATTTTTTTTCGTTTTCAATGTCGACTTAATACTTTAAATAAATTGTCAACGATGCTTACAAAAATGTTAATGCTGATAATAACAGTATATACATTTGTATACACTTTAAGATATTATGCATATTTTCTAATTCTTGAGATTTTTACCACTTTAGAAGTAATCTATGCCGATACAAATTTTTGTTTTTTTAAATGAAAAACCCCTTTATCTGTAAATTATTTAGTGGCTATATTTTTTATGCACATTTTGATGTGCTTTATTCAAAATTCAAACGAGTATGTGTAATGTCTCAGTTTTGTAGTTTTGTAGTGTCTCAGTTTTTATTATGTTTATACAAAGAATATTCCTTAAGGGGATAGGTGGCGGACAGTTATTTTAGTCAAAACATACCAATCTTTATTCCATCATACTGATCGACCTAGTAATGTGATAATACCTACTTATTAAAACTGACTTTTTATTATGTTTACATGGCATTGTTTTATGTACGTAACTTATATGTGAGAATAATATTTACGTAATTGCGATCATGGGCGTTCTCACGGGGGGGGGGGATATGAGGGATAGATCCCCCCCAAGGTTCTTTATTTTTTTACATATTAGTAATACACGTTTTGTCTACTTTTGATATGTGTTTGTGTTTTCAATATTGACTTGGTAGTTATTATTTTTTTTTTTTTTGCAATTTTTCTTTATCGTGATTACTGATTCCACCAGCCATAAACAATATTATTATTTATCACTGATAATTATAACATGTAACAGGCAATTCGCTTTACAATTGATTTGTACTGTATTTTTGTAAACAATCACTCCGTCAACTTCATAAATTCCCAGCGTCAGAAAAAATGTAAAGGTAAGATACACAATGATAACACCACAGTGATAAAATAAAATAAATAATTTAAACCAGGGATGGAAAACGTTTTTAAAAAACGTTAGTAAACGGGAAAAAAAACGAAAACAATGAATAAAACAAAAACAAAAAACCATAACAAAAAATCCCAAAAACAGAAAAAAAATTAATTACGAAATCAAAAACGAAAACGCAAATAAATTATGGTATTATACATTATTATATTAATAACACGAAAAAAAAAAGTATTTACTTTTTAATCTTTACCAACAATGCTCTATTAAAATTTAAAAACATTTTTATTTGAAATCAAGAATAATTAATTTTAATTTTTAACTCTTAAGTGCATTTCTAAATTGCTAAATTTACTACTATAAAAAAAAACAATATTATCAAAAACAATATAGAAAAATAACGTTTTTAAAAACGTTAAACAAAAACGAAAAAATTAAAAACATTTTCCATTCCTGATTTAAACTGATTCATAACATTCTTTTATAGTTCAAATAAAAAGAACAATAAATATGACTTGAATTGATTATTTGATATTATCAACTATATTACTATCAATAGGTATTATTAGATTCTGAGCGGAGTGAGGGATCTATTGGTTTTTCAATATTGTTTATATTTATTTTTATTTTATCCTGCATACAAAATTTCTACCAGAAGCAGTTCTTCTCTTTTAACATATAGTATATCTTTTCTTTTAGCAAATTTTATCAAGATGGTACTTTAGAGAGGTAATTTTTCAATTTTCTCAATATTTATTTAATGACACATTACAATGTCACCGACATATTTCAAAAACCGCTAAAAATGTGATTTCAATTTCTAACACTTTGTTTATCACCATTGCAACAAATAAAATAAAAATAATGATTTTAGTTACCTATTTTATCGTAATTTATAATATTAATTCAACTTACAGGCTATAATAAAATATAATTACAATATAAAATATCCAGACTGACAAACCGTGAGCAGTCCGCTCAGAATCGTTTTTCGTATACAATGATATGATATAATTGAATTCAAATTTAATACAATCCATTATACAGTGACCAACTATTGTAATCTACTGTACAGCAGAGCGACATCCACTTACCCGCTTTTTTAATATTCATTATTATAATATGGGAGTTGTGAGGCAAAACCCTTAGGTACGGCTTATTTTGAAACCATTTTTTTCATCCCCCTCCATTGAAATATCCTGAGAACGCCTCTGATTGCGATACATATAATATCAAAACACAGCGTATAAAAAAATTAAATGCATTGAATAAATACACTGATTTCATGGCAACCAATAATTATTACTTACCTAACCTAACCCATGGCGACCATTTATAAACAAAAATTTCCACAATAAATCTTTAAATCCCCGTTTGAGCACATCCACTGGTTGGATTTAGGGGGGTGATTTGTGAAACTAAATTTTCCGGGGCGTCACCCAAACGCATACAAAAAAAATTCATTCAAATCGGTCCAACCGTTTAGGAGGAGTTCAGTCACAACACACGCACAGTAGAATTATATATAAAAAGATATATTTATATTATATATCAGGGGTGGCCACAACGAGGCTCAAGAGCCGCATGTGGCTCTTAAATCAGTTTCGTGTGGCTTTTGAACCGAGCTTAGACTAAAATCAATAAATATAACTAAGTATTTCGGTTAGAATCATAAGATAATGTTTTTATTGCCGTCGGTTTCATTATCATTACAGTCGTTATTATGGATTGGAACATTGATTTTTAGTATGTGTATAGCCCAAATTGTGTGCCCATGTTCCGGAAGAAAAATACGCTGCAATAACAAAAGAGTGGGCCAAGAAACTTATTTCGATCTTTAAGCTACTTATATGTATGTGAATAAAATAGTTAAATTCATTAAATCTAAATATAGTAGTGTAGTGTAAAAAATAAATTGACATAAAATTAAAAATGTGTCTTCATTTTATAAACATCGCTTTACAATGTGACTCACCTCGAATTAACTTTACGAATTTGCGGCTCCAAAAGTTAAGGTTAGTGGCCATCCCTGTTATATATATTGACAAAAAATAATAAAACAAATCAACAAACATGCCCGATTAACCAATAGCAACCAATATAATATAATACACTGTTGTATTTTTTACACCCAGATTTCCTACTTTTCCGGTAGATTTTCCTAAAATTTTCTTTCGTAAAAACCTTCTCCTGGCAATGACGAACATCTTAAAATAAAATTTGAGCCAAATCGGTTCGGCCGTTCTCGAGTTTTAGCGATACTAATGAACAGCAATTAATTGTTATTTACATAGATAAATGTAATATTAGATCTCGAATCTAGACTATCAAGTATATTAAAATTTATACTATACTTGGACTATTTTTACAAATTATAATTATTGATAGTTTAATTACTAAGATTTTCAAACCACCATGGCCTTCATATCTTTCAAAATCATTTATCATGGACCTTTTATCCTTAGTACATAAAGTTAAATAACTCAATACTAACTACCTACATCTTCTAATTTTGATTGAGATACGATAAAATGTTCAGAAAAGTCATCAGTTAAATAATTTACAGTAGAAGGAGGATTCTCATTTGGAAAATAAAAGTTTGTATCTTCACATGACAATCCTTAAGTAGTACAAAAAAATCAAACATTTGAAAATATGATCTTAAATTTCATTTCCAAAATCAGATTTCGAATAACTAATATATTATCTATAGTTCTTCTTAAGAATACGTTTGCTATTCGAAAATATTACTGTTTTCAATTTATTCACTACGCAGAGAGTACAGACCGTGTTATTGTCATATAGTGTATCGGCCTCCAAATCTGTGGTATATTATCATACAGTAAATTTTTTGTCTATATCCTTCACAGGAATGATCATGAGAGCGCTGAACACGCTTCCCGGCCAGGACGATAGCGAAAAATTGGTAACCAATCAAAAACAAATCGAAGAGCTCAACATCACTGTGGACTGCCTGAAAAACGAATTGTCTGAGAAGACCAACCGGATTGAGGAACTGTGCAGGCTGGCCAACGATTTCCGGGACGACACGGATCGTATAAAAACCGAAGTGTGTATGACTTTAAACTGATTTATATTTTTCTGATTCAGTGTAACCGCAAATAATAATGTATCATGATTCATGATGCTAACGTATAATGCTAAACCTATAACATTGTTAATCTATCGATGTCTGTTGTGCTTTAGTTGTTTAGACTTCAGGAAAATCACATGTCGCTCATACAAGCTTACCAGATGAAAGAAAACGAACTGGAATCGTACAGACGTTTATTAGAAATGCACGGGATTTGGGTAAGTTGTAAAATATATACACATATACATGTAATTATAAACCACCCGACGTTGACGGTTAAGTTTTGGAAAAAAAGAATGTGTGAAATACATTCGAAATTGTAGGTAGAGGCTTTCTGAAATTTATATTCAGTTGTATAGGTTATTATATGATAAAAACACACAAAACGCCCTTCATCGAGTAAAAAATTCGTCTCTGCGATAGTTGAAGCCATCGCATAGTATTTTAGAAGAATTTTAGTAGAATTTTAAGAGCAAAAAAGTGGTTTTTAAAGAATTGTTGTGCTTTTGTTTATAGTAGTTTTAACAGTTATAGCAGTTTTATAGATTTCTTAAAACAGTTAATTTAAATACTTCATTCATGCTCATTATAATAGCTGAAAGTAAATAATTGTTATTTTTGATGAACTAAATAATTTCTTCTTAAGTTTTGGAGACAAAGTCTTGCTTGCAGGTTGTAAATTGTTTGATTTTATTTTGTGTCTTAGTATCTTTATATATTATACTAGCTGGACAGGGCAATGCGTTGCTATTGCTAGATTTTTGTGATTATAAAGTAGTATATTATCAGGTATTTTATTTTATTTATTTTTATTTATAATGATTAACGCCAATCGGCTTTTATACAAAGTAATTGCATACAAAATAATAACAAATTTAAATAACAATATTAAAATAGTAAGACATAATAACAGTATTAAATATAGTAAGACAGCAAAAACCAATAATATGGTGAAACAAAAATAAAGGGCCCAGGCACGAAATTGTCACAAATTATATAAATTGTATACACGCATCAGTCTAGGGAGGGGTGCATTGGCAGCATAGTTGGACCGATCTGTTTGTAGGTAGAACGTGCCCTGGTATCGAGTGTTGCTAGGAACATGGATATTAAGTTTCTCTAATAATCGAGGTGCATCAATTTTCCCATTTAATAGCCCAGAAATAAATCGGTAACTATGTGTCTGACGTCTAACTGATAGTGACTCGAGACATAAAATATCATTTATTGGTTGATAGTCATGGGGTGGATGAGTAATGTTTAGGCAGTACCCAGCATTATTCAAAAACCTGTTCTGCACTCTGTCAAGTCTAAGTATATCACCAACGGTATACGGATCCCAGACAATAGAACCATACTCTAGTAAATGCAATCTACCTGTGGTAGATCCCGGACCCCACGAGGTCGTACGTAAATGTATAATTTTACTCTAAAGTATCAAAGTTATACAATCAATTAATAAAAAATCCTAACTTAAAATCCGATTAAAAAAAAAATAACCAAACAATCGTATGTATAGATGAAGAAAAATAAATAAAGTTAAAATAAGAAGAAAAAAATTATAAAATGGAAAAAATTACACATCAACGGTCAATAGAAATGTTAACAATCTTTTGTTTTTAATAAGGTATTAAATAGACAACTTTCCTGTAAATACTTAATGAATAATCCAAAAAAAAATTAACAATTAAGGCGGCTCTAAACGATTGGATTTTTCATGCATTTAGACCAATAAGCTGGCGAAAAATACACATACTTCTAGTAGTCCAATTTCAATTTTGAATACTTATTTGGATTCGTTAGCCTCTTTTCTATGATCTGTAGGAAAAACTTTTTCATCTTTTTGTCTAGTTAGCACTTAAAAGTGCAAGTTAAATTTGAGAAATCAAGCAGTCATTTGGAACCGTAATATACGTAAATTATCTAAAATATCCAAAATCGGTTTCCTACAAATCATAGAAAAGAGGCTGACGAATTCAAATAATTTTTCAAAATTGTAATTGGACTACTAGAAGTATGTGTATTTTTCGCCAGCTTATTAGCATTTTTCACTGTTGTGAGTGTACAAAATATTTTTCGAGAGTGAATACGTTGACTTTTGCATGCGCGTACGTGTGCTATTGAACCGTGTGCCCGCAGCCGGGTGATATAAAATCTATTGTTATCGAGTTCGAATTTCTTCGAATTTCACACTAATAATCATTTACGACTAACACATAGATTACGGGCGGCGACGACAAGATTAGAAATTGCCTAAATTGTTCCCCTTAAATAATAGCCACTAAGAGCCGCCTTAAAAAAATAACAAATACTTGATAAATGGTAATAAAATAATAGATAAGGGGAAAATCAAAAAACAGTGCAGCTAATAAATGAAAAAAAATTCCTGTTTTTTTCGGATAGGATTTTTCAGAAAAATCCCGATAAAACTTCCCATTAATACTTTTACAATAAACCCCGCTTAGTTTTTGGGGTTTTATTTGAAAATAGAAACTATATCTTAAAACCAAACGTATGTATGTATAGCTTATATTATATATTAATCATCGGTTGCTAGGGGTAACCTAGATACGTTTTAACATTAATATCATCATTGTTATTGTTTGGTTGTCATGGCAACTGTAACGGTAACGCTGTCCGTGTCTCACAAAATTATAGAATAACCCCTCCCATAAGACACAAGTCATAAATTATAAAATTTTTTTTTTTATATTAGCTTTCAGTTTACACTATTATAGCCCAACAATTATAATACCATATTATTACATATTAGGTAAACATGAGATAAGAAATATACTACCTAGTTTTAATTAGGTAGATACAACGACTCAATATCGGTATAGGTATTTAAAACATTAGTGAGGTATAAAGTTTAATAACCTTGGATAGACTATTATGTTATAATGAGGATAATTTTACGAAAATAATTATGGAGATAAGGAAGCTATGAGGATTAGTACGTTAAGAACTGAGGAGAGGAGAGTAATAATTAGTTGACTGATTAGAGAGTTGAGGTTATTAATAAAATTAGATAGTAAGACAGAAATGTGATCTGTGGAAGAATCTTGAATCCTGGTGGCTTTCGTAAGATTTCGGACTGGAATGATGGTTTGACTCTGGAACTTGGGCTTTAGGTGCTTTTTAAAGTTTTTTTTTTTTAGTTTTTTTTTAAAACTGCGCATTCCCTGAAGTTTGCGGTGTGATCCCCGGAGCAAAGTGCACACTTGGCAGGACTTTTTGGGTCCTTGGTGCACTCGTTAGTATGATGTTCCGCACCACATTTTACGCAGTGGGAAGTTTGGTTGCGATAGTTTTGCGTATGTCCAAACTCTTGGCAATTATGGCATTTTGAAAGGCTATGGCTCTTTTTGTGGGGATTTTCGATAAATACTTTGGTATTAAGCAACGACTTAATATTGTGAATGTCCTCGTTTTTTTCGTTCTGGTAAGAAAATAAAATAAAAGTAGAAGGGGATGTTTATTTTTATATTTGGCGTTGTAAATGTGTTTCACTTGATGTCCTAGTTCATCCAGAGTGGATGAAATATCGGTGCCTAAGGTCGAGGGGTGTACATTTCTGATGATGACCCTGTAGGGATGTTGGAAGCGAGGTGAAAATGAATGAAAACTGGCGTCTGTTTCATTTAAGTGGTGAGAGGCAATTTTGTTAAAGCTATTACGACCTGAAGGTTGGACGATAAGATGAGAAGCTGAAGACTTGCAAGTAAAGGCGTTTTTGTCGGTAATACTTCTCAAAGTGGAGTTGAAGGCGGAGTAATCTGCTATGTTTTTTTATATAGATTGGCGGATCAAAATCCTGAACAGTGTGAGGGGACATAGTGAAGTCATCTTTAGAGCAAATTGAAGGTGTGGAAACATCGCTGTTTTCACAGTTATCGTTATTGGCAAGAACGGCAAATTGGTTTGGCGAAACGAAAAAATTGAATTTTTTATTATTCTGATTAGGCGACAGAGACGAATTCGACAGTTTTGAGGTGCTGCGAGAACTTGTTAATTTTAATTATTTTCAAACGTAAGGAGTTCGATAACTTTAGCTTGTTTCGATGTTTGTTTTTGATGCCCACCATTGCCGAAAATCCAACTTCACGCATGTATGAAGATGAGAATCTATATAATTTAAAAAAATGTTCGAGACCCACCAGTGGGTCGCGACTCACACTTTGAGAAACGCTGGTTTAAGGTATTTTTAATTGGGAATTAGTTGATAGTTTTCTTCGACATCAACTTTGATTATAAAAAAAGTGTGTCCAAACATTTGAATTTAAAAATTGAAAACAAGTTAAGGGGGCTGGAACGTGATCAATTCTAAGGAGTAAAAATTAGGCATTTTATATTTCAAGTTAAATGGCTTTTTATTATATTTTAAATTGTAAGCGAGTTATGAGTACTTACTTCAATATGTACAAACAACTTACAATTTTAAAATACTCATAGCTCGCTTTAAAATTAAAATATAATGATAATTATTAAAACTAAATAAAACCATTAGCAACCATTTATAAGCAAATAATAATAATAATCTCAAAGTTTGAGAACTTCCTTGGGCTGGACTCTTATTTACTTTTTTTCGTGACAAAATGTAGCCTATCTTCTGCCCCTAGGCAAGATTTAATACTTTAATTTATCTCTGTTCCACATTTCATCGCAATCGAATGAACGGTTTAGAAATGTATAATTGTCATAGGTAGTCGGGTAGTGGGTACAAATATTTTTTTACGTTTTTATAAATAGATAGATTCAGTAGGTACACTAGTGTTCGTTGTGGGACGAATACAGAAAAAGGTCCTATGCTGTCACACTGACGCGATCAGAATGTCAGATTATTGATGTACCTATACGGCGAGGCGGGGTAAAAAAAACCGTATAGGTAATAATATTTTATATTATACCTATATTGTTAGATTCACATTTTACCTCTGGACAATTTGATTTCGAATATGAAAATGTAGGAATGCGTTTTTTCTCTATAACTGAACATGTTATAATCAAAAGCCAATTCTCGTATTTCGACGATTCGCCAACCGTAATAATATCGCTTCGCTATTCACGGTTTTAGTACGTCAAATATTGTGTTATTTTTCTCTCGGTATTTTAGATTTTTCGTTTTATTATAACTACGGGAAATGTTGAACCTTTCACGTCGTTTTATATTTGATTTTACGATTCACCGATGTTTAAAATAGAACAGAAAGTCACA